CAGAGGACAAAAGAGTCCTAACTTGTGAAAATAACACTTTTTGCTATGACAATTTTGAAACCTCATACTCTAAGTGGGACCCGGTAGATCGAGAGTCATGGGGGGGGGGAGCGCATACGGGTGTTCTTTCCCATACCATATGATATCGGATATTCACATTCTAGCATTTGACAATGACAAACGGGTGTTCATTATACAGTTAAAATCGCAAAATAGAATTGAATTTGTGATTTGGTTTCGTTTATACTTACAAATGAGATTTAGTTCGGTTTGAGAATTTTTTAAATTGCAGTTTTTGATTTATTGAATTTTATAAGTCGAATCAAACCGTAAACTATAAACTGAAATTTTATATATATAATATTTAAATGGAATGAATAAAATTATAAATATATAATTAACGAACTCTTTATTTTATAATAAAATAATAAATAAAAGTTTTAAATTTTAATTTTTAGGGGAGTTATTTGGGATTTCTAATTGGGTTAAGCCCAAAAGAATCATTGAATGTGTTGTTGCCCAGATTGGCCGAGGGCAACGAGGTAAATTCACTCCCAAGTTCTAAAGGTAGGCCGAAGGCTTTGAGGATTTAGAGGAGGGTAAGCCGAGGCCAAAGACTGTAGGCCGAGGCGAGATGCTCCCTTCTGAGTACGGTAGAAGCCGAGGACTGCGAGTCGTCGGCTTGGTAACAAAGTTCCTAGAGATCCGAGGTACTGCAAAACAAGAGATGTCAGAGGCCTCGGGTGGAGATCCGAGGTGGAGACTCTAACACTCAAATTAGTACGATGTGTAAGGTGGGGGAAGGTGCAGACGAGGTCTCGATGGTAGTCCTCGGATGAACTGGGTCCCCAGGAGTAAATGCTAATGAAGCGAGGCAGGTACAAGAATTTAATTCGAGGCATTGGAAGTAAATGCGGGAGCTGGATCAGAATTCTGGGATCTGGATCCCTTGTCAAGGGAGAGTTACTTCATATTTATACTTGAGCGAGTTAGAGGTAAGTGGAGATGAATGCACTAGATGAGAGCCATACGAAGTCAGGCGACAGGTCCTTGCGAGTATGCCTAACTACTCCGTGGTTGGCTCCGTATGAAGGCAACAAGGCTCCCCCCCCCCCTCCGTTGTGGCTGGCGCTGTCAAGCGTTAGTGGGCCGGGCCTCTCAGCCTGTAATGGACTGGGCCTGGCTAGCCCACGTCACTTGCCCCCCACTCCCGAGACCGAAGTGAGGTCTTGACTTTGGCTAGTAATGGAAGTGATAGTCGAGGTAAGGCCTCGGCTTCGGTCATCGGGAGTAGTGACTGTTATGCCTTTGGGTTCGTCAGCAGAGGGGTATTTTGTAGTGGCATCGCTTTTACTTCGTATGCGTCTTCCCTCCTCAACGGTTCAGAGATGTGTGTGGTGTGGATGCCTTATGTTAGTGGGGATGGTCCCGTGTCATGCACGGTTAGGTTACATTAGGGGTCCCCCGTGAGGAGGACGGTCACCAGGATAGGCGTGCGTTTGCTGGGCCGAGCAGTCTGCCCAGTGGGTCGCGATGGGCGGGCCTCGCGGTTTGCTCGGTAGGTTGCGGCGGGTGAGCCTCGCGGTTCGTCCAACGTCATTTCGTCTTCAATCCGTCTAGGATGGTTCTGTTGGTGACCTCGGCCAGGCCATTTGTCTGGGGGTAGCACACCGAGGTGTACTACTGTTTGATGCCGAGGGAGGCACACCACTCCCAAAATTTAGCATTATCGAACCGCTTCCCCTTGTCGGTGACTAGCATGTGAGAGAGGCCGAAGCGGCAGATGATGTTTTTCCAGAAGAAGCTCTAGATCGCCCGAGCTGTGATAGTGGCTAAGGGTTTGGTCTCGACCCACTTGGTGAAGTAGTCCACGGCGACGATGAGGTACTTCCTGCCCCCCATTGCTTGTGGGGAAGGGCCAAGGAGGTCCATTCCCCATTTGGCGAAAGGCCAGGAGCTGCTGAGGGCTGAGAGGGTAGTCGCAGGTTGATGACATATGTTGGCGTGCCTCTGGCACTGATCACATCTTCGCACGAGTTCAGCTGCGTCTTTGTGAAGTGTTGGCCAGAAATATCCCTGTCTCAATGTCTTCCAGGCAAGGGCCCTGCCGCCGAGGTGGTTTCTGCAGATGCCTTTGTGAATTTCTCTAAGCACGTACTCTCCTTCCTCGGGTGGAGGCATCGGAGGTAAGACAGGGTGAAAGATCTTCTATATAATTTTCCTTCAAGCAAGGTGTAGTGGGCTGCCTGACGTCAGAGCCGTCTGGCCTCGTTCCTGTCATTGGGCAGTTGTTTTGTCAGGAGGAAATTGATGATGGGATCCATCCATGATGGCTCGACCTCTATTGGCAGTACTTGAGCCTCTTTAGTGGATGGCCGAGGTATCTTCTCCACGCGAATTGTGCGGGCGAGGACTGTGTCTGAGGTGCTTGTTAGCTTGGATAGGGCATCGGCCCTCGTGTTGTTAGCTTGCGGGACTTGCTATAGAGTAAAGCGTTGGAAATGGCGAGCCAGCTCTTGGACTTTTGCGAGGTATTTGGACATGCTTTGCTCTCTGGCTTCGTACTCGCCGTTCACCTGGTTCACCACCAACTGAGAGTCGCTGAACGCTTCGACGTGTGAGGGGCCGATGTCCTTGGGCAGTTGTAGTCCAGCGAGGAGGGCCTCGTATTCGGCTTCATTGTTGGACGCTGGAAAGTCGAACCTCAATGCATATTTGATGGTTGAGTTGTCTGGGGTGAGGAGGATAAGGCCAACGCCGCTTCCTTTGGCATTGGACGACCCATCCACAAAAAGCTTCCAAGTGGGGGGAGCATCTCTAGCCGAGCGCCCTTCTCCTGGTTCATCTTCTAGGGCCCGAGGGAGAGCTCGGTTGAAGGTGCACTCCGTCACAAAATCTGCAAGGGCCTGTGCTTTAATGACAGGCCTTGGCTTGTACCATATGTCGAATTCGGAAAGCTCGGTGGCCCATTTGATCAAACGCCCCGAGGTCTCAGGCTTGGTGAGGACCGCTTTGAGGGGTTGATTTGTCAACACTAATGGTGGTATGAGCTTGGAAATACGGCCTAAGCTTCCTAGCTGAAACCACAAGAGCAAAGACCAACTTCTCCACTTCATGGTATCTGGTTTCGGTGTCACACAGTACCTTGCTGACGTAGTATATTGGTTTCTATGCTTCATCTTCTTTGATTAGGACTAAGCTGACTACTTCGTCTCTGGCTGATAGGTACAAGTATAGAGTTTCTCTTGGAACCGGGTAGGCCAGGAGGGGAGGGGAGGCGAGGTATTCCTTGAGTTCGTCAAAAGCTCGCTGACATTCCTCCATCCACCTAAAGTCTTTTAGTTTCTTGGTGGCTCGAAAGAAGGGAAGACATCGGTCAGCTGACTTTACATGAAGCGGTTGAGTGCTGCCACTCGGCCAATGAGCTTCTAGGTTTCCTTCACCAATCGAGGAGGTGCCATGTTCAGTATGGCCTGTATCTTCTCAAGGTTGGCCTCAATGCCTCGTTGAGTGGCAATGAAGCCTAAAAACTTGCCCAAGGTGACACCGAAGGCACACTTGTTGGGATTTAACTTCATATTAAACTTCCGCAAAGTGTCGAAGGTCTTGGCCATGTCTGAGGTGTGTACTTCGGCTTTCAGGCTCTTCACCACCATATCATCTACATAGGCTTCAACGTTCCTCCCCATCTAGTCCCTGAACACTTTATTAACGAGACACTGGTAGGTAGCTCCTGCATTTTTAAGCCCGAAGGGCATCACCTTGTAGTAGTATGTACCATGTTTGGTGATGAATGAGGTCTTCTCTTCGTCTCCGGGGTGCATCTTTATTTGATTGTATCTGGAGAATGCATCCATAAAGCTGAGCAATTCATATCCTGCAGTGGCGTCAACAAGGTGGTCTATTCTTGGCAAAGGAAAAATGTCCTTGGGGTAGGCTCAGTTAAGGTCTGTGAAGTCAATACAAATTCACCATTTCCCATTAGCTTTCTTAACCAAAACCACATTCGACAACCAGTTAGGATAGTATACCTCTCGGATGAATCCAACATCAAGTAGCTTGTCAACTTTCTCTCCTATGGCCTTCCATCGCTCTGGTGCAAAGTTCCTCTTCTTTTGCCGAATTGGCCTAGAGCTCGGGTCCACGCTCAACTTGTGAGTAATGACCGAAGGGTCAATTCCGGGCATGTCAGCAGCGGACCAAGCGAAGACATCGATGTTAGTTTTGAGGAAACTTACCAGTTTGGGTAGGCTCTCCGGGGGAAGGTTGGACCCGATGCGAACTGTCTTCTCGGGCTCATCCTCGTCCAGGGGAACCGAGACGAGGTCCTCGACTCGCTGGCTCCTCCTTGAGGTCGAGGCCCTCAAGTGACAATGCTTCTTTGATCTTGCCCTTTAGTGCCGCCACATAGCACTAACAGGCGATATGCTGATCCCCCTGAACAACTCCGATGCAATGCTCGGTTGGGAATTTGAGGGTGAGGTGGTAGGAGGACATGGTGGCTCTCAGCACGTGAAGGGTCGATCTCCCCATGATTGCGTTGTAAGGGAGCCAATCCTCATGACAAGGAACTCCGTCATCCTCGTCACCTGTTGAGGCTCAGTTCCTACCGTGATTGATAGGGTGATCTTCCCTTCTGGCCTAACGACATTGCCGGAGAAGCCGACTAGTTGGACATCGGCGGGCTGGAGGCGCTCTAGCGCTATCTTCATCTTTTCGAAAGCTTCATAGAAGAGGATGTCTGCTAAGGAGCCATTGTCGATGAGAATCCTCTTGACTAGGAAGTTTGCTACTACGGCAGAAATCACCAACGCATCGTCATGGGGGACTGTGATCCCATTGAGGTCCTTGTCCATAAAGGAGAGGTCCTCCTTCTTCTTTGGCCTCTTGGGGGTTGACCCTTGGATGTTCAACTGCCTGGCGTAGGCTTTGCGGGCCGAGGCTGAGCCCCCAACAATGGCGTCGATGACTCCGATGACCTACTAGTGCTGTTGCTGCTCCTAGGAGGACGAAGCGCCAACTTCGCCCCCAACGAATTGCTTCAAATGCCCGCGGCGGATGAGGGACTCTATTTCATTCTTTAACTCATAGCAGTCCTCGGCATCGTGACCGATGCCACGGTGAAACTTGCAGTACTTTTTGGGGTTCCTCTTCAACTTCTCTAGCCACTTCACGAACTTCTCATCGCCTATCTGCATCAGGATTTGGGTCCAAGAGGAGTTGAGTGGTGTATATTGGCTATAAGTTGTAGTCGGGGCCGACGGCTTCCTGTTATCTTTGCCACTATCACCTCGGCGGTCTTCATTCTTCTTCTTCTTCTTCCCTAAGGGCCCGCCATTGTGTTCGGCCTCCTTCTCTTGGTGATCCTCGGCCAAAGCCTCTTGGGCCGCAATGTACTTTTGGGCCTTTTTGAGGAACTCCAGCTTTGTCTTCGGTGGGGTCTTGGTGATCGAACACTTGAGGGCGGAGCCAGCTCGAAGTTTGTTGATGGCAGCGTGCATCGAGATCATGGGGTCGAGGTCCCTGGCCTCAAGCTCTTCTTTTTTGAAGCGGTTGATATAAGACCGCAAGTTTTCGCCCGGTTTCTGCTTGATGGACATGAGCGAGATGATGCTCTTCTGGCACTGTCTACTGCTGATGAAGCGGGCGAGGAACATGCTGGCGAATTGATTGACCTCGGGGGGAGCCTGGAGAACCAACGGCATGCTACCCCCTTGAAGGTGGCCTGGAAAGTTCGGCATGTCAAGGCGTCAGAATACCCGTAGACTATCATGAGTGCTCTGAAACTTTCCAGGTGGTCGTCGGGGTCCGAGGAGTCGTCGTACATCTCCAAAGTAGGAGCCTTGAAGTGTGGGGGGAGAGGCTCCGAAATGATTTCCGGGGTGAAGGCGTCCATGTGGCCGGCGGAGTTTTCGTGACTAGTGGAGGCATCAACTCGGCTCTCCTTGACTTGGCGGAGCTCGTCTCTGACGGCCCCAAGCTCGGCTCGCAACTCGGCAAGCCCCTGATTGGCGGGGGCATGGGCCTCGCTTCTGTCTTCACGGACTTGGTGGGTATCAGCTCGGATTCCCGAGTACTCCGAGGCCGGGTCGTGCGCTCCCCTATGAGTGCGACGATCATTCAAAATGTCCCAGAGATCCGAGACAGGAGGTCGGCTCTCGCTCCGGGAGCAAACTCCAGGGTGGCCGAGGTGTCTGCCATCATCCCTAGGGATCTCCCTTCGGCGGTGGTGATGTTGCTCCAAAGGCTGATGACTGTCTTCAGATCATGCGGGCACTTCTTTTCTTCGGCTGGGAGGTCGGATATTCCTCTGAGGTGAGTTGGGGTGTCGACTATTGCCCGACTCCGATTGTTTGGCCAGCTGATTGTTGCCCTGGCCGGGGGCTAGGGGCTCGACATGCTCGCGTTGGCCCTAATTCTCTGACACCCTAGCGGGGCGGTCGCCTCGAGAGGGACCTCTTGCTTGGGGGCATACTTCTTCTACACGTTGAGTGAGGTGGTCCAAATGAAGCGAGGTAGGTGCAAGAATTTAATTCAAGGCACTGGAAGTAATTGCGGGAGGTGGATCAGAATTCTAGGATCTTGATCCTTTGTCAAGGGAGAGTTACCTCATATTTATACTTGAACGAGCTGGAGATAGGTGGAGATAAACGCATTAGATGAGAGCCGTACGAAGTCAGGCAATAGGTCTTTGCGAGTACGCCTAACTGCTCCGTGGTTGGCTCCGTACGAAGGCAACAGGGCTCCCCTGCTGTGGCTGGCACTATTAGGCGTTAGTGGGCCATGCCTCTCAACCCGTAATGGGCTGGGCCTGGCTAGCCCACATCAAAATGGTACAAAGTCCCCATACCATATTAGAAACCTTACCAAACCGTAATAAAACGGTTTGATTTGATTTGATTTCCATACCAAAATAATTTGGTTCGGTTTAGAAATTTCTTAAATCGTAATTTATTGGTTTGGTTTGAGATCTCTCTAAATCGCATTGAATCGGACTGTAAATGGAGCCATGTCAATCTGGCACAACATGACTTTGTAGGCTGCCCGTGCTTTAGTGGGTTTACGTGGACTTTACCTACCTCCTTTGGGATCCTTAACAGGTCAGGCCCAGCACGATTCATGGCATAAACCAGGTGGGGCTGGGCCAGGCCATGAGAGGCAATTTTTAAAAAGAATTGCAAAAAAAGCTAATAAAAATTTAAAATAAATCAATAAAATAGATAAAAAAATTGAAAGAAAAATCTTGAAATTCTATTTTATATGAACTTTGATGTATATAATTATTTATATATGAAATAATAAAATAAAAAAAATACAATACAATTAGAATAAAATAGTAAGGCCCACATTGTCGTACCGGCCTGTGGGCCTGAAAACCCAAGCACCACACAGCCCGCGTGCTACAGTGACGGAATAGCCGAATATAGCTTTACAAAAGCCAGAATGAATAAAATGAATGGAAAATGCTATGGTAAATCCCTTGCACAACAACCTCGTATAGCCACACACCCCCGGTAAACTTACCAACCCCCGTGTATTTGTCTATTTGATAGGTTATTTATCTGTGACATCATTTCCTTCCTAAATGAGCTAGATTTTATATTGCAGTGTTTTACTATTGTAGGATTTTAAGGTTCAGTTTGGAAGGAGTATAAATACAAATATGTAGAGTGCAAAATCTTATATTTTGTATTATTTTATATGTATTTATATCTGTACTTTTTTCAAACTGAGCCTAAATGAATACTTAAACGGTTAAACTTTAATGCTATATTTGGTTTGAAGGAAAAAAAAGTAAGGAAAGGAAAGAAAAGTTAGAAAAACCTTTACAAATCTTGTATAGGTTTCCCTACCTTCCCTTTCTTTTTCCTATCTTTTCCTTCAAACCAAACATATCCTAAAGTTTAGCGGAGGACTAATACTTCATGTTATAAGATGAATCTCATTCTACCTACTAGAAGATCTCCTACAGACCTTTCTTTCATCCAGCATGATGCTTTGGGAGCTGGGAATTTCTGATTGTAAATCTCATTTCTTTTTTCTTTAATAAAATCTTCTTGCTTTCCTCTCTAAATTAAAAACTTCATGGAAGGAAAATACAATATTAGTAAGAACAAGAGGTAACGAGTGACAATACTAAGAAGAGAGCAACAGGCAACAACCACTATAGAGAATAAAAACTTATTTTAGGGACCTCACCCAACATCATAAGCTTTTATGTTGAATTCTTGAGATGGTATAGGAGCCTCTTTATGTTAAATCGGTGGACCGGGTTAAAAATTGGTGGAGTTTATATGAAAGAAATAGTCAACGAAATCAGATTTTAAGACTGGTTTCTTCTATTGTTCTATGGGAAATATGGGTTGAGAGGTGTTGAAGAGTTCATGAGGGAAATTGCTGATCATAACACCTCTTGGGCCACTTGTCTTCAAATTCTTGTTAAAAATTCCCCTCCAAGACATATTAAATGGATAATTAACTTGGAAACCTCCACCACAAAACTATATTAAAATTAATACTGATGGAGCCTGTAGAGGCAAGTCGGGTTTGGGTGGGGTCCTTATAGATTGTACCTCTTTGCAAGCTGAAGTTAAAGCTCTTCTAGATGGACTTCATTTATGCTAAAATCTCAATTTGAATAGTATTTTGGTTGAGAGTGATATTATGGTTTTTAGTGAACCTCCTAAATTCAGGCTAGCTTGATGGCTCCTTGGTGGGTGTATATTACCAAGTTCAAGAATAAGATTTCCTTTAATCATATTTACAGAGAGGTTAATTGTGTGGCAGATTATCTCAGGAATTTTGGAATAAATAGTGTCTCAAATGCCTATTACTTAGTCAATCAAATACCCTCACAAGGTAGATCATTAATCGGCGAAGATAACTCTAGTTTACCAATTCCAAGGTACATGTAATGTTATTTTTTTTTCTTTTTTGTGGGATGGTTTTTTGAGAGTTCAAGGAGTGTTTCTTGTACTTTGGGCTTGGGGCATGGCAGGCTATATCCTCCCCTTTATCTTTTTGATAGTTTTTTCTTCTAATAAAATTTTAAGGTAGTTGCTCTTCAAAAAAAATCAGAGCCTCTTTAACCAAGTGGTCTAGTGTTTGATCTCCACCGTTGCCATTATAGTAAATTAAATTTTAGTACAAGGTATGATTGTGAGTCTATATATATGTCCATACTTCAAGCCCTGTATGTATATATGTATAATATGGAATATGAACCACTGGAGGCTACCATACACATTACCATAATCTTCATCACCTAAGCAACTGAGCGTTATGGGGTCGATTACATGAATCTTGTTTCATCATAATCATATCAATTGACATATCATATATATACATGTGTATCGATCACAATTAATATGATTATAATATATTAACAAATCAAGTCCTAAAATTTCATCCACCAAGTTCATTGATTATATATTGATTCATGCAGTTTCAATACAAATAAGCAGTTGGGTTAGATAACATAAAACCTTCTTGGATGGAGTTTTGATTCCAATATAATCTCTATGAATGGAAAAGTCATAATATATACCAAAAAGACACAAGGAGCATGAGTGAGCCACGAGTCCAATTTTGTTTGTATGTAAGCTTTTATGAAGGTGAAGACCGAATGTTAAATGTCCTTCCCTAATAAAGACTGAAAACTAATGCTCCAGCAACACCAAATATCACTCTTGCTATCTTCAATCTGTCTCCTGTGCGCTTCTCAATTCCAGTTGCTCTTTCATTTTTGCCCCAAGCCATGAAAGATGAAAATGCCAACATGCATACTGCTAATCAAAATGACAAATATAAGGAAGTGTTTGATATAATGGCATTGTGTTGTCGTTGTGTTTTGGGTTAATCAAAATAAATTTGTGGGAGAGATTTTTTAATATGAGTTGATCAATACAAATTATTATTTCTACCTGAAACATCAAATTTGATATTTCTCACATACATGCATTTTTCTAGTTGAAATGACACTTGTATATGATGTACAATACACTTTTTTTCTTACAAATTTGGATTAATCAATACACAACAGCAATGCAACACCACTATACCAAACACCCCCATAGTAAGGGTGGTTTGGTCCAAGCTTCAAAATTTTGATATAACATGGTGTATCATATTGGTAGGTCTAAAATAAGTGTTGTTTTTAACACTTAAATGACAGTTCAGAAGCCCCATGTGAAAATATGAAATTTAAAAAATAAAAAGAGGGTAAAAAATGGGTTTTTGATTCACTTGAAACATATAGGCAGAGGGATTCCCTATAAGCAAAACTCTGCATACACTATAAGAATAGGGGAATCTAGCACATTGGGAGCATCTCCTTATGAAATTAAGAGAGGAGATTCCAATGTGCAAGTAGATGTTATGTGTGCAAGGTTTTTGCTTACAAGAGATCCTGGTAAGTGTTTGGTGTCAGATGTATCCATAATTTAAACCGTGTTTGGTGGGTAAAGAACCTTCAATTTTTTACCTTTCATTGACCAAAATCTCTTTGGCATAGTTCTTGAATTGTTGTGTTTTCCACTTGTTTTAGGAATTCTGTTTCATACAAGGCTTTGTTTGCTTTTCCCGATGTTACTTACCTACTTACCTAGGTAAGTGCATTTATCCATTTTTTATTTTCTAGATAAATAAGACAATGGTCATTTTAATCATTAAAAATCATTGTTAAAATGGGCAATTTTGTTTCATCCAAATATTAACAATTTACCTAAAAGTTACTCACCTATATGGGAGTAAGTGATATCAGGAAAAATAAATTTTTCATGAAAGAAGAACATGGGTATCTTGGTTAATGAAAACCAAAATCTCATTAACCAACTTTTCTCCCTCTCAAAATCCAAAAAAAGAACAACTGGCCCTAAGAATAAAAGGAGTGAAGTCACAATTCACTCAAATGGTTAAAAAGGTATTTCAAAAATATATTAATTTTGTTGATGTTGCAGCTATTTTGCTTTGAAAAACAAAATCAATTATGTTGTCAAAACAAACCCTTGAATAACAAAAATGGGAGAAGGAAGGGACGATCTTGGACAAAAGGCTATGCAAAGGGTGAATGCGGTCATTAGGAAAAGAATTGTGATCCTGCGGTATAAGTGTCAACTATAGCTAATTAGCTATGGAATTCTAGTTCATTCTCATATAACATTCTGAAAGGTTACTTACTGCAACAGAGAAAGTTTTTCCCAACTGGGTGGATCCGGTGTTACTCCACTTTTTGCCTTTGCCATTACTTTCGCCCTATTTATTTGTTGGGTAAATTGTTGAAACCTTCTTTGAAATTTCTGACAGCTGAAACTTCCCTAAAGTTTGGTAATTGCAATAGCCTTTCCTTTTCCTTTATCAAATAGTTGTGAATAGACCTCATTTATTAGAAACTTAAAATCTTCTATAAAGAGGCCTGAAAATGCCTCAAATAAAATCTTCAGTAAACATTTACTGATAGTGTTACATAGGCGCCATCTCAGCCTTTTCTCTCTCTTGTTCTTTTACATGCATCAAAAATGAAAAAAGTGAATTTTGGTTTTTGTGCATGCCAGCCATTTGTTATATTAATTTGGAGCCTAATTGTCATAAACAGTTGTAATTATTGCATTTTTCAATTTCACCAGCAAATAAACATACACGGAACCAAATACAAATGTTTATTCAATAAACATACACGGAACCAAATACATGCTAACTAATTTTCCCAAAATCCCAAATCTTCCAGGTTTTAAGTCACAATATAGAGATTTAACAAAAAAAAAAGTTACAATATAGAGAGGGCAAAGTAAGTAAAAACAATTTAATCTCCGTTTGGAAAGAGTGCAAATGTCTCGTCTCCTATTAAACCTTTCTGAGTAAAAATGTAAGTTAATCGGACATCCGAGACGTCCCAAAGAAAGAGAGAGTGAAAAGTCCCCTCACTAAAATTCGCATTTCTTGATTCATCGAATTTCTACCAGGAATAAAAACCTGCTCATCAAATCAATTTGTTCCAAAAGAGCATTTGATTTCTAGCTAATGGGTTCGAAGCCTTTTCATCTTTGAAGCTATTCTTGTTTTTTCGAGGGAGGGGCGATGGATATCGAGCACAAGCAAGCAGAACTGATCGGGCATTTCGTGAAGCAAGCAGAAACACACAGAGGGTCGGCACTCGCGAATGTAATCGTCGAAGCAACGTCCGATTCCTCCCTTTTTGCGTTTTCAGAGATTTTAGCGGCTCCCAATGTCTCTGAGGTTAGAATATATTCTTTGGTCTTTTCCTACTTACTATGTTATTCTTAGGGATATATATTTTTTTATCATTCTAGTAAAAGGAGACTGGGTTCAGTGTTTGTTTCTTCGGTGATTTAACAATTTTCTGGAGGTTCTTTTAGTAGATTATTTATTGCACAAATGTGTGCCTGTTTTCTTAGAGTGATTTGTCTGTGGATTTATTTTATAGGGAGTTTCTGATTATTGTGGGCTATATTATTCCTTCAATGGTTCCTTTGGGAAGTTTATTGATTAGAAATTTCTGTGTGTTGCTGGGATTTTTGTCTAAATGAGAAAGCACTTCACTTGCAATGTGTGTTAGTTAGCTATCTGGGAGGTGCGCTATCTGAATTAAAAATCTCGTTACTTTAATGCACTGACGATAGCAATTAGGGGTCGTATTCCATTCTTGGTTAACTCTTGAATTTTGTCAACAAAAGAAGCCAAGGGTATCTCTATCACTTCTCTTCATAGTATTTTAGTGGAGAACCCGCCAACTCATCAACCTAAATGTCTCAACCAAGGACTGCTCTTCCTCCAAGAGTAGCAGGTCAGACCACACTTTACTTTGACGATAGTTCTCTGGGAAATCCAGGGTCCTTCCGGGATTAGGGGAATCTTAAGTGATCTGAATCTGAATGGGTTTTCCTTTTGGTAATTTACGTCCAATTTGGGGGGGGGGGGCAATGCAGTCAAAGCTGAGGTGGTTGCATTGCTCACCAGCTGAAGGATTGCTAACAGATATCAGCCCCCCGCATGAAAGGTGCATGGTATAAGATAAGCCAATAGAGCTGGGTCTGGCCCATGGAGATTGATAGACGTCCTTGATGAAATTAGAGACATTTCGAATTCCTTTCTTTCAATTATGCATTGGATTCCTAGAGATCTCAACATTGAGGTTGATAGTTTAGCTAGGAGGGGTGTGGGGAAGGTTCTTATATGGTGATAACTCTATTCCTATTTAAGTATTTTCCCTGTGAGGATGGGATTCCATTGTTCTTGTATTTCAGTGAACTTACTCTCATCTTTTCATGGACATCTTATGCCATTCGTTAATGGAATTGTTAAATAAAATAGGGTTTTGAGGGTCATGCTTTCTAAGTCGCCATGACTAGTTTCACCATTGCCTTTGTTGTTGTTGTCGTCACTACTGCTGCTAGTGAGTATCTCTAGTTTCCTTTGCTCTCTGCCTCCAGCCCTTAGTCCAGCCATCCTATTCACTGGTTGGATTCTTCTCTTGATTTGTAGATTCCCCCCACTCTTCTCTGTTCGCCAGGATGTTGGCAGAGAGGAGGCCTTGACCTCCTGCCTCCATCATGATAGTTTCATTGAAGCCAAATCTTTTGACATTGATTTCTACCGTAGCATCGACAAGTGCTTCTGCCAACTGACTGAAAAGGTTTTTGGTCTAGGGTTTCTCTGAGAGAAGAGGTTACCATCAAGCTTTTCCATTTTCTCTTCAGAATCCTAGTTGATCCCTGCTCTTTGCAAGACAAAAAATCTCTCAAGGGCTGATGCACAGTTTCCAACTGAGATCCAACTCATGTTGTCGCTATATCAGGATAGCCTCATGGAGAGGAGAAGAAAAATCTAGAGGGATTTGTATCCTAGAAGGTATGAAAGGGTCAGGTCGGATAAGTTTTTCTGATGTCCTTTCCCCAGTTTGCTAGAGAGAAAAGGAGATTCCCTCTCCCTAGTTGCGAGATGACTCCTTCCCTCTGGTCAAACCTGAAAGTCATTGTCCATTCAAGCAGAGGAAGCTTTATTAACATTGTCCATTCATCCAATCCTTTTGGCATTTGGAAAATGGCTTTTATTTGCAAAAATAAAGAGTGAAGTTAAGTAGTCAGAAGTAGCAAGGGGTTTAATGGTTAATCTTCATTCCTCAGCTTGGATTTACTTGAGACCAATTAGTGAGAATCAGGTTGTTGGTTTCAGAGATGGTGGCCTCTTGTCAATACAGATGTGGACTCCCTGAAGTTCGATGGTTGGCTAGTTATCAAAGGATTCCTCTTTCATCTTTTGTCTTGTTCTACATTTGAGCTGACAGGGAATATTTGTGGTGGCTTGGAAGCTGTGCACATAGATACTTAACTGCTTAAGGACTTGAGTTGCACTAGATTAAGGTTAGCAGCAGAAACCTTCATGCCATTCCTTGAGCTTCTTTGATACATTAATCCAACATTTGGTTTAATGTTGACATTTCAGTGAAGATAAGTAGATGACAAAGTTGAACTCGGTTAAACCTCAAAGATTCCAAACTTAGTAAGGGTACCCAAATCCAAATGCAAAGATTAACTGGAGGACCAGCAGAAAACATCAGGGGTTAGTTTTTTGAATTTCAAATCCAATGCTTATGTTGGCCAAGATGGCAGCCACAAGCCCAAAACTAGGGTGGGCCTTCTAGAAAAACAGGTGGGCCAGTGGGCAAGTTGTTGGACCCTTCTTCCTCAAACAGGTTTGCGGGACTGGATCTCATTGAAGAAGAGTATTCAAGTGATTCTAAAGATTTTCTCTCAACTCTGGCACTCTGCGTTATCCTTTGGGAATTTCTGAGCCTACCCCAAGGGTGGTTTGTTGAGAAGATTTGAAAGCTTACTGCCTGCCAACCCCTTCTTCCTCAGCTGCAGAATTAAACTGTGAAGAGCTTTCAAGCCAATCAGAGTGGTATAGGTCAGATCAGGAACTGGTCCCTGATGGTAATCTTTCTCCCAGATTTGCCAAGCTCTTCTGAGAAGGATCAGCGAAGGACCAACAGTTGCAAAGAGGCAAACTGTGGATCCCATCAGACTTTTACCTGAAAATAGGGGTTTGAGCGAATCTCAACAGGTCATTGTCAACCTTTCCTTGCTTCCTCAATCCCAACCTTCAGGTACCTGATGCTCTTCTCCCTCCTTCCTTGACCCTATTTATAGGAAAATTTTTATTGGAAGAAGGAAGTAGGCTACATCCCCGTTTGGTTAGAGAGTTAAGGAAGCTCCATTGTGAAATGAAATGGAAGGAAGATTCTGAAATCTCAGTAGGGAGGAAGAGGAATGTAGGGAAGAATTACAATAGTGCTCAATGAAGATCTTATCTTGCAATTTGAGAGGGTTGGGTGGCGACCTTAAGAGAAGCTCTAAAAAGAAGAACACAGATATAGTTGTGCTCCAGAAAACTAAGAAAGAATGTGGACTGCAGATTTATCAGAGCTATTTGGGAAGTCAGAAGCGAAAATGGGTGTGCTTGTCTTCAGTGCTTCAGGAGGGTTATTGATAATTTGGGATGGGCATCTTTTTGGTATTGAAGTAGATATGGCCATATGGGAGAGTTTTCCATTTCAGTTTTATTCACTAATACTGATGATGGTTTCACATGGGTTCTGACTGGTGTATATGTCCCGAATAGATCAAGTCTTAGAAATCAGCTCTGGGAAGAATTTCAAGTGCTTGGTAGTCATAGACAGATTCCTTGGTGTGTTATGAGAGATTTCAACCAGATTGGTTAATGAGAAATCCAGTGGTGGTAGATTAACTAGACGCACGAAGATTTTCAGCTTTCATTAAGATTTCAACCTGATTGATCTTCCTCTGCTGAATGCTAAGTTTACTTGGTCCAATATGCAGACTTACCCTATCTCTTGTTGCCTGGACAGATTTCTTCAGATTGGGAGGATAAGTTTCTGAAGGTATCTCAAGAGATAGGTCTGTGGAGAACTTCATTGGGCCATTATTCTCGACACTGAGAAAATGTTGAGAACCAAGACCCCTTTCAGATTTGAAAAAATTTGGATCTACCATTATGAGTAAAAATAGTTGGTGGCTGAATGGTGGGTTGACCGTCAAATTGAAGGATGGGGTGGTTTCAGGTTTATGAAGAAGCTTCAGCACATTAAACAGAAATTGAAGTCTTGGAACAAAGCAAACATTAATCCTATATGAGCAAAAGGAAGGAGTTTGGAATGAACTGAAAGAGCTAGACAACAAAGAAGCTCAAGGAACGTTGGAGACTAACAAAAAACAAGTGAGAAATAGACTGCAATCAGAATAGGAATAAGTGGTTTTCAGAGAGGAAATATATTAGAGACAGATCCAGATTTCAGTGGATCAAGGAGGAGGATGGTAATACTCAGTTTTTTTTTTTCAAAAATATGCTAATGGGAGAAGAAGGAAGAACCTAATCTCTAAAATTCATGTGAATGAGCAGTTGGTAGAGGAGCCTTCTAGGATCAGTGAGGAGATTGTAAACCACTTCAATGATCTTTATTCCTCAAGTAGATGTTGGAGACCCTCCTTGGATGCGTGGAAAGGCCTTACCCTTTCTCTTTAGAATAAGTATTGGTTGGAGAGAGAGTTTTGAGAAGCTAAAATCAAAGCAGTATTCTCCCTTCATGAAGACAAGGCCCTTGGGCTATGGCTTCTCCTTGGTTTTCCACCAACAATGTTGGGACATTATCAAGTCAGGCCTAGTAGAATTTTTTGATGATTTACTTGGGTCAGCCAAGCTAAATAAGGGCAATAAAGCAACATTTATAAAGCTGATTCCTAAAATAAGATGGTATGCTAAGGGTGAAAGATTTTTGGCCAATCAATCTAACTGGAAATCTTTAGAAGATTGTAGCAAAAGTTCTGGCTAATAGGTTAAAAAAGTGTTAGGAGAAGTAGCTCTAGTGCAAAATACTTTTATTTAGGGAAGATAAATGGTGGATGGTATTTTAATCACAAATGAATATGTGGAGGAGAGGAAGAAAAGGGGGTTTAGGAGGTTTCATGTTTAAAATCAATGTTGAAAAAGCCTATGACTTGGTGGACTAGAGGAACTTGTGGAGGATAATGGAGCTGAAAGGTTTTGGGAAAAGGTGGATGAGACGGATGTAGGGGTGTGTTCAAGGGGCTTGGTTCTCTGTCCTCATCAATGGGTATTCCCTTGGTTTCTTTAAGGCTTCAAGTAGGTTGTGCCAAGGACATCCCCTTTCTCCACTCCTCTTCTCCTTGGTTGCTGACATTCTTGATGCCTTCATTCAGAAAGTAGTTGCATTGGGGTTAGTTAAAGGTTTTTGTGTGGGCAGGGAGAATATTCTCTTAACGCATCTTCAGTATTCTGATGACATAATCTTCTTTCTTGAAGATAAGCTGCAGTTCCTCTTTAACATGAAGATGGTGCTGCAATGTTTTGAAGCTGTGACAAGGCTAAAAACTAATTTAGGGAAGAGTAGCATTATTGGAATTAATGTTCTCTCCACCAGAGGTTAGTTGGCTACATTAATGAGGTAGGATGTAAGCTAGAGATTGGCCTATAAAATATCTTAGTTTACCATTGGGAGGCAATCCTAACAATGTTGGTTTTTGGGTTAGAAAAATGTAAAAAGCGATTGGAAACTTGGAGAAAGAATTATATATTCAAAGTGGGGTAGGCCTACCTTAATTAAGGCCTGGCTGATATTCCAATATATTTCTTGTGTATGTTCAAAGTGTCAGCAAGAGTGAGAAATCAGATTAAGAAGCTTCAGAGATTTTTTTTTTTTTTTTTTTGTGTCGGATGGAAGGGGAGAGGAGGGATCATTTGGTAAGGTCAGAACTGGTTTGCAAGTCCAAGAAGATAGGTGGGTTGGGCCTTTAGCTGCATCTCGGAGAGGAATACAACTCTTCTAGGTAAAATGGCTTTGGAGATATCAGAAGGAGCCTCAACCCTTGTGGGCTTCTGGAATTCACAGAAAATATGGGAGGAACAGGATTGGCAGGGGCAGCTTTCCATTGGTTAGAAGGATCCCTTCAGCCAATCCCTTGGAAGGTATCACCTATCACACAAACTCTACCCCCCCTTTCAGCCTAACCTTAGATTTAGTCTGAGAATCTTATCAAATTCTAGACTGATCTTTTGGTGGGGCTCTTCACCCTTTAGTGAGTCCTTCCCCAGCCCTTTTAACCTAATTTGAGATAAACAAGCCTTGGTCTCTTCTACTCTTATTAATGGAAGACATGGTCTTTCCTTTAACTTAATTTTCATATAGGCCAGGCCTTTGTGAACATGAGTTGGTTGAAATGTCATCTCTTCTCTCCTTGCTGTCTAATGTCTATCTCACTTCTTCTCCTGATAAGTTCATTTGGTCTATAACCCCCATTGGTTTCTTCTCTATCAAATCCTTCTTCCATAGCCTGGTCTCTGAGTCCTCTTCCTCCTCTTTCCTGGTTAGAAGGATATGGCATGTGGTTCCTTCTCTATCAAATCCTTGAAGGATTTCCTTCTTCTTTTGGGATCTAGCATGTGGTCGGTTGAATACTTGTAATACGTTGCAGATAAAATTGCTTGGACAATGGTGCCTCGCTCCCATGTTTGTATTATGTGCCTTGATTGGGGAATCAATTAATCATCTTTTGATAAACTGCAGGGTGGTTTGTAGCTTATGGCAATTTCTACTTGATATGGTTTTTGAAGGAAGTTTTCATTGGGTTCCCCCAAATTCTGTATGTGAGTTCATATCCCAATGGAAAGGTAGGAAGATGGGTGAAAGGGGTAAAATTTTTTGGAAGGCATCTATCCATGCAACAACGTGGAGCCTCTGGGAAGAGAGAAACAATAGACTTTTGTAAAAATAAAGCTTCCACTGAAGAATCTGTAAGAAATAGAATTCTGTCCCAACTTATCTCTTGGATGTTGTCTAACAAGGTATTTTCAGGTTTCAGCTATGGAGACTTAAACAGAAATCTTGTAGAGATTCTTCATTCTTCTCTTGTAGGTCCTCAACCTTCCATTTCCCAAGAACAGAAAGTTCCTTTATTTTGAGGTTCAATGGAAGCTTAAGAAGGGACCCAGACCCTCCTTTGATGGCTGGCATTGAAGGAGTCATTTACAACTATGTTGTGAACATTGTTTGGGTTTTTAGCCCTGTTTGTGCTCAAGATACCTCAGAGGCAGATGTTCAAGCTCTGTTGGTAGGCCTTCAGTCAGCTAAATCCTTGCAGGTTGACTCTAGAGTCACTGTTGGATGGGTTAATGAGACAAGCAAAGGTCCTTGGAGGCTTTTTTATTTCTTGCAAAAAAATTTTGACATCTCAGATCTGATCCATCATGGCTTTAGATGGATTCCCAGAACTAGAAGTTTAAATTTCCTGGAAGATGCTTTAGCAAAAAATGGGGTGGGCTTTTGGTTTTTTGTTTGGAAGCCCTGTTTGTACATCTCCTCATGTACATCCTCCCCTTTTCTATTGAATAAAAGTTACCTTTTTTCAAAAACAAAAAGGGGTTTTGCCATGTGAAATGAAATAATGTTGTCTTGGGTTTCTATAGTATTTGAACCCACAAAAATTACCTCATCCAAAATGGAATCATTTCAACTGTTAAGGAATTGCATCTTTTCTTGAAATTCTTATGACCTCATTCTTTATCTTTCCTCAGCAGCCAGAAATGGCTTTATTTTAGATAATATTGCTGCTCTATGGTGCAATTAGAAATTAGCTGATTTATTCCTTTTTTTTTTGGGGGGGGGGTCCTAATGGAACCATTCATCAGATGGGAGACCACTAAATTGGCCACATGTTCAGTCCCAAAGTCCATATCAGGCATATGCCCCACCGTATGATTTGTATTCGTGGTTTTCATGATTAATATTAGCTATTCGAGGCTTTAGTATTTTAATACAAAACTTACCTACAAAAGTGGGCTTATTTTGCAATGTTGCAACTAGCAAGGTACAAGGTGTTATATATATGAAGTGATTGACTTTCCCTTCTATTGAGCAATCGCTTATTTATAGTGCTGATTTGTTCTTATTGCTAACTTGGATGCAGCTTCAAGGGACTGAATATTCTGTGTTTCTTGACATGCTTCGTTTGTTTGCTCATGGCACATGGAGTGATTACAAGAGTATGTGCTATGAACCTTAGTTGTGAATCTATCTCTTGTTGTATTACTATTTATCAATGCAAGTATTTAAACATCAGAATGTTATTTAACATTTTTCATTATTAAAATATAATGTTACGAATATTGAAAATATATATAGTCATGAATATGGTACAAGTCCTGTTGATTATGAAATTTGATTTTGACTTATTTAGTGAAATGGATTGGATTTCGAGCAGGAAATGTTGTTCTAGGATTTTGCATAACTAATGATAGTAGTAACTAATATATCCTTATTATAAGCATAATGGCAAAAGTTCCTAGCATGTTGCAAATAGTGGTTTCCTTATTTGAGTTAAATCATAGGTCAATGTATCTAGGCCGCGATTTTAGGTGATAGTGGAGTGCCTAGTTGCCTAGGCAAGCACCCATGTAATAAGAATTTCATAAAATTACAAATTAAAATACATAAACATACCATGTAAAACATATTTAAAATGAAAATTTAAAAATAAAATCAAGTATAACATATAAAACATGTTCAAGCATATGTAAAACCCTCAATCTCTTTATTTTTTTCCCAATTGCATTACTTCAAATATGATGTTAAATATTATCCAATCTTGATTCTATGAGTGGCCTTGGTACCAAGCCCCTTGAGGCAAGCCCAAACAAGTCCATATTTGGCCAAAGCCGCCAGACTAGGACTCTGGGGAGTTGAAACATGTTTTTCTGAATTCCGTGATTTTCTAGATTTAGAAGATGTGTTGTTGCTTTGATACCATGCCAATGTTAGAATGAACAACTGAGATGAAGAGCGTTAGTGTGGAGGTAGAGAAGATTGGTAGACTGGAAGAAAGGTTATTGGTGTTGAAGGCAAGCCTAGTGGGTAGGTTTGTTGGCACAGAGCTGGACGTTGAGAAGGTTGAAGCATGGGCGAGGTTGGAGTGGAGAGAAGAGAGGGTCACGGGACAGACGGCTAAACGGTGATCTATTTCTCTTCATGTTCTATAGGAGAGAGTGGGCGGAGAAGGTGTTAGAAGAGGAATCCTATAAAGAGAGGGATTTGGACCTTTGGCTTGGGTGGTGGTTCCCGACGGCAGGGGCATTGAGAGAAGGGAGGAGGAGAAGAGCTGTGTGGGTTGCAGTATATGGGATCCACTACATGCCTGGAGCATTGTTACATTTGAAGAAATTGGAAAAGCTTGTGGTGTTATTCTCAAATTTGATGATAGGAATAGGACTTGGAATAAGTTGGACTCTGCTAGACTGTTGGTAGTAGTGTGGGATGTCTCAGGCTTTCCGAAAGAGATAGAGTTGCTTTTTTTGTTGGGGAGAAATACAATCTGAGATTAGTTATAGAGGGACAGGATGGCACGTTTTTTTTGCGACAAAGCAGGGGAATAATCGGAAAGAGGGAAGCAAAGAGACTAAGGAAGAATGATGTCACCTTGGGGCTCAGGAGAACAGTTTCTAGGAAAGGAAGATGAATGGTCAGTCGAAGGAGGAGGATGATTGTGAGGTGGATGATGGGAAAGGCAGTTATGGAATTTCAGATGGAGAGAAAGGTTCAGATTTAAACAGGGAAGGACATGTGGTGAGGGAGAAAGATAAGGAGGGGGAGCTCCACACGTGGTAGAAGGGGAAGTCAGAGGGACACTGGTGGTGAGTGGAATTAACTTTGAATTTCCTATAGGTGGGGCCCACAGGAGGGTGGAAGCTGTGGGGAAGGAAAAGATGGCAAAGTTGGGGGTAAAGAAAGGGAGGGGCGTTATTGGTAAAAGGCAGTTTAAGAGGGGTTTCTTGAAAAATATTTCAAAAGGTAGGGAGCAAAAAGATGTTTGGGTTTGGATGGTTGCTAAATATGGAGAAGGCAAAAAGACGGTGGTATTTCAGTGAAGGAGAGGAAATAGGGACCTTGTAAGAGCTTTAGTGCCACCTGAGTTGCTTAGTCGTCCGAAGAGGAGGGAGCTCACCGTGAGGCTAGCGGGCAGGGCCTGAAGTTGGGAGAGGAAGGAAGGCTAGGGACTAAGTTTTGTCGGGGGAAGTCAAAGCCTGACATTTCCCAGCAGGTGACCATAATTTCCTTTGCTCCGACACTTTTCTCAGCAGGGGAAGAAGATAGGACCTCGGACCCACTGATTTGTTTAACAAAGGACAGGGAAGGAGCTACTGATGGTGCTTCTGAGTTTAGTGACAAGCGGATCGACCGAGAGGTAAGCACCCCTGTCTCGGATGTTGATTGAAGGTCTGAACACAGGTTGAAGGAGGGAAAGGTAAAGGAGCTTGGGGAAGAGGCAGAGTCTCTCGGGGGGTCCAAAAAAAAGGCCATTTGGGGAGTTAGGAGGGCGTGACAGAAAAGAAAAGGTATACAACAGAAAAAAAGAGAGTCCTTGATTCTTCTCAGGGGGCAGAAGAAGGAGTGGGAGTAAGGGAGGTAGGATGAGAAGGTTGTTTGGAGGGGAAGAGAAGGAAAAGACAGGAAGAGGGGGAGGTCGGAGGGGGGATAGTCCAGGATTCAGCTCTGGTCTGAAATGGTGTGGTTGAAATTGACAAGCTGGTAGAGAGGAAGGATTTGTTTTTCTGGGGAGGGGAAGAATTTGCAAGGAAGGCCTTCAAACGTATTGAGAAACTTAGGATGGGAGAAAAAACAGAGAAAAAGAAGAACGTGGGAAGGACAAGAAGTGGGACGAAGAGGAGGAAGTGGGTGAGGACTAAAGGTGAGTCTTTTTCTCTTTCGTTGTCCAGGAGGAAGAGCAGAATGCGGGTGATCAGCTGGAATGTAAGGGGTCTGAGAGATAGGGAAAGAAGGATGACATTGAGAATTTTAATAAAAGGAAAAATAGTCCTACAGTTAATCAAAAAAAAAAAAAATAGTCCTACAGTTGTGCTGCCGCAGGAGACAAAACGGGAATTTTTTAGTCTGGGCCTGAAGGAGGAAACTTGGGGAATGAACAGTGTTGGGGGATAATTTTTGGAATTTCTTGGGTTACACACTTGTAATCTCGACCAGTTCTGTATTTCTTGATTTTTCTGGTGTAGTATAATCGGCATGTGTGCTAGGTTGCGGTTGGGTGCTATCTTAACACCCCCGGGTTGTATGACTTTTTATTTGAATGAAATCTTTTGTTCTGATTCTTCAAAAAAAAGGGTCATGAATTCTTAATCCCTATAAAAAAGATTTTATAATTTTAATTCTTTTGAAAATATCTTTTATTAGGACGAATGAATGAGCATGATAGCAAATAGGGGGTTTTCAGAGATTTAATGAGCGGGCAAAGGGAGCAAAGTGCAAGGCGCACACCTGATGGAGCCCCTGGCCCAGTTGTTAGGCATAAAAAAACAGAAAAAATGCACAAATTTTCAAAAGTCACGCACCTGGGCTGAAGTGCAAGACACACCCGGTGCACACTATTTGAAAGTGCTTCACCTGGGACCTAGGCGAGGTGCATGCCCTAAAATGCACCTTGCCAGTGTGCCTAGGCATACCTTGCTGAAGATGACTATCACTAGATCGACATCTATGGAGGAACAAGTGGACAAAATTGATGTTGAGAAGCACAAGTTTGCTGGAGATCTCAGACAAATTAAAGACACCTTGTCAGCTGTCCTTACCCAGTGCGATTTGACTTGCTTTGTCCAATGAATGACTAGCTGTGATCTCCTTCAACTTCCATGTTTCTGACACCAAGATGTAGTGCTAGTCTTGGTCTTTGTAAGAGTTCCATGGTTTTAGCCTGACCAAGTCTCCTAAGCCAACTGGACCTGAATACATCACTACCACCACTCCTTGGTGATTTCTAATCACTCCCCCAATGCATGCTCTTCTCGGATTGCCCATAGAGCTGCTATCAAAGTTCAGCTTCAACTTATTTACAGCCGTGGGTTTCCAGTCCATTCTCACTTCTTCAATGTGTCTGCCTGTTCGTGCTACTTCAGACCAAGATCTAACAATGTCATTGACTGAAAAGTTTCTTAATAATTCCAAAGTTTTTACCCAATGTGTGGCTCTCACTAAGATAGCTTCAGTTAACTCCTCCTTAGACTTGTTCTTTTCATTGAACATTCTATTATTTCTTTCTTCCTAGATCGACCATTCTATTGCTACTCTTACTAGCCTCCACATGATCTTCCCTCTTTTTTCCTTAAGCCTCAATAAGTTGGGGTTGAATAAACTTACCACTTCTTGTGTGTATGTGTGTGTGGGGGGGGGGACATCTGCAATCAAAGAACAAAAAAATTCCCAAATACAATACATGAAAGGATAAGAGACTAATAAGTGAGGAGTGGTTTAATTACTAGCCTTACAAAGAATACACATGAAGAGAAAGGCAAGAATTAGGCCTTTCTGTAGCATGCCATAGGTATTGATCTTTCCAAGAACACTTTCTGACAAGGTGCTTGTACTTTAGAATGGATAAGTTTGCACGAATCTTCATTGGAAAACCCACCCCCACCCCCACCCACAGTTAGAGTTTACTAACAGGTTAAACAAAGAGGCACATTTGGTCAAAAAAAAGAAAAAAAAAACAGTTTCCAGTTTTGAGAACAATAGAATTTAGGGAATCACATTCATTATCCCTTAGGCCTCTCCTGAACCCAAAGTCCCAATTGAACCAAAGTGGGGAAGTTGCACCAAACTTGGAGATAGGTTAAAGTTTAAAATTGGATAGGGAGTGAAGAGTTGGGATGCCTCTCCTTTTGTTTAATCTGTAATTTTCTTTCAAGGAGAAGTTGCACCTTGTGCCTCTCCTTGGGATGCCTGCAATAGTTTCCATATCTTGTTAATAAAATCACATTTCAATTATCAAAAAAAAAAAAAACGAGTTGGGAATTGTAAACAGGGGCATGTCACCAATACAAAGATCCTCCCAAAAGAGTACTTTATTCCTACAACGCACATCAAAATGGATAAAATTAAGAAAGGAAGTACCTCTATTATTACTTTCCACGGGGAGTTTGATGAGGTATGTGGATCCAGCTTAGCATCCTAGCCATTTTGTCATGGAATTCAGGGATAGCAGTGGTAATAATTAATATTATTGATCAGTGAAAAAAATTAATATTATCTTATTTATCAAAAAAATAATATTATCTTGTTATACTTGGGATAAGTAGGATTAGGCAATTCTGTCAGGGCTGAGCATTTGTCACTTCTCCAGTGACTTAGATTGGCAATCTCCATGTGTTTTCAGAGATTTGCATATGAAAGAGGTTCTCATATAGTGATTGATTGGAAGAGGGGCAGTCTAAATGGCCCTTGTAGTTGCAGTTAGAGAACAAGGCTGCTGAGTTATAGGCTGTATAACTTTTCCACTTGAGTGCATAGATTTGCTAATTTTTTTAGTCAAATTGTCAACCAGGGTTATGGTATTGATGATATGTGTCTTGGGAATTTTATAGAGGTGCAATTGAGACAAGCTGAGCCGAACTTCTGCATGTCTTCGCTTGGTTTGATTAAATATTTGATGAACTCGAGTTTGGCTCGAAAGCTAAAAAATGAATATATTTTTATATTCTCCCTATATATATGTGATATATTAATAAATAGTATATTCTTGTATTATGCATAGAATATAAAAATATATTTTACATAAAAATGTAAAATATATTTTTAATTATATGTTTGTATGCATGTATGTATGTATGTTTACGTTAATTGAGCCAGGCTCGTGAGCTTTAGAGCCAAACTTTTTATTTTTGAGCTCAAGTTTGAATAACGGATCGAGCTTACCTCGAGATTTGAACTTGATTAGAGTCAAACTTGAATTGAGCCTAATTGAAGTCGAGCCCAAACTATTCAATTAGAGCTCGGTTTGATTGCAGCCCTAATTTTTCATGCTGCAATGGATCTATTTCTTTGTATATTTTGTCCAAAGCAGTCTCGAATACAGAGATATGAAGAACTTGACTAATGGCTTTTCAAAGGCAAAGCAAGGTGAAGTGGTTATCTAGATGGGAATCACAACCATTGTGATGTTCTCTTATCTCTATTGAAGTTTGTTGATGTGTGTTAGCTATCAGAAAATGGTCTTTACTCTTTAGAGATTCCAAAGTTCATGGTTGAATTTATTGCACAATGTTGTATTGCCTGGCTCTATGTTGAAGTGCATGTAGAGAAGTTAAAAAATAATGCATATTTGAACACAAATTTGAATGGGTGAACTGTTTCATTATTTGGATTTGAGGGTCTTATTTTATTTTTATGTTTACTTAGCTTTCTGCTTAAAAAGGAATAAGTGATCTTTACATTATCAACATTCCTACTTAGTTGGAGTGTTGATGATTTAGGGTGGTGCCTAATTTTCTATCAGGTTCTTTCTTGTATGCCTCAGGTAGTATGTAATTAGGCCCTGAGCTTTGCCATATCATGTACCTCTGTGAATATCTTTTCCTTTTATGGCTTCTGTATATTTGGGGTATTCACCTCTTTTATATAGATAAATTCATTCTTAGCATGAAAAAGATGGACTATTCAAAGTTATATGGTACATGGGTTGGCTCTATTAGGGGTGCCATATTTATATACCTTTGAAGGTAAGAAGATACTTCAATCAGTTGCATGGGCTTACCCTAAAATTTGCGGCTGGTGGCCTTAGTTTATATACTGGATCTTCTGGATTCTGGAATTACTTGTCTGGGGCTTGGTAATAAAAAATGATTTAAGTGCCCATAGTTTAACAACGGATATGCACTGAACCTAATGGAATGGCAAAACAGGATTCATGTAGTCAACCCCATATGGTTGGGACAAGGCTTAGATGATGATGATGACTTGGTCTGAGGCTTGGCTTGAGGATTGTTATGAGGCTTTGCAGACTCTGTAGGCAGGTTATTCACACAATTCTCAGCCAGCATGCTTAGGCTGCCATTTATGATCTTATTAAGGTTTATTGGTTTCCCTTTTTGGTTATGGAGAATCTGCTATATAAATTAAAATAATAAATAAATACTTGTAATATTTAGGGAATTACATTATAATTCTTTATGGGTAGTCCTCAATCTTAAAGGTAGTTTTGCATACATGCTTTGTGGAATGCATTTTTGTTACAAGGACTCTTTTAATTCTTTATGTTGTCTCGAATCTTAGATTTCTAGATAACATGCCAACATGTTAACATGATGCAAGAATTATCTTTTTTCAGAAAACGTTTTCATCATGTCTTACAGAGGAAATCTGCATGACTATTAGGTAATGCGGGCTGTCTTCCACAACTGGTACCTGATCAAGTCCGCAAGCTAAAACAACTTAGTGTTCTTACACTTGCTGAGACAAAAAAGGTATTACTTGCTCGTCAACTGGGCTTTATAGTGTAATTTTCTTTTCCTAGATCAGGTTTTTTGTTGAGTTTAAGATGATTGTCTGATAATAGCGTAATACTTGGTGAGAACCCTACTTGGTGTAACATGGATACAGGTATGGGAGCTGGAATCTGGAATTCTGATGCTTGCTGTGTCTGACTTGGCAAGTTGATAAAAGATGAACTCAAGGACACATGCAGAATAATGTATTTACTATTAATAAAATTTGGTAACTTGTGAAATCTAACAATAATATACCCTATAGAAAATGGAAAACATAACAATATCTTTGCCACCCAGGATTGTTCTACAGGAATAGATGGACTCATGAAATTCATTATATTGATAAAAAAATCATGGAATTCATTATGTATAATAGATGTTCATTTATGTCAAACAATCAAGGAGGAAAATGACAATGACATTGTAGAAGCATCCCTCAAGAATCCATAGAGTATCAGAATCTGCCATGTGTCCAAAATAGATTTTCCTTTCATTTAGGGGAACCCAGGCAACAGCAGGTTCTTACTTTCAGTTCAACCCAAGGAAAATTTTATGGAGTTGGATGGTCTCAGTTTGCTAATTCTTTGTCAGATTCAGAACTTCATGAGACATAATGGAGCTTGGGATGCATTACACTTCAGTTTGTTTATGAAGTGGCAAAACATGGTATCTGCTAGTTCTGTCCAATTCCAAGTCCCTTGACTAAGTTAGAAGGGAGGATCTGATAGAGAACTTTTGGGGTATTCTGGAATTACAGCTTTGTAGTGAGGAAACTTTTCAGATTGTCAAGTTATTCAATCTGGGTTGTCTCATTGACATCCAATGCTCTGTAACCTTTTTCTTTTTCTTTTTCTTCTACCCTTCAAAAAAGGGTTTTTGCATAAGTGATTCCTGACACATGTCTGTCATCCACAGACTAACTGGAAGTCTTTTCTTTTTGAAGGGAAAATAATTGTTCAATGTTATATTTCTTTTTTTTTGGGTATTTTGGTTCTTTTCTTTTATGCCTTTTGGATGAATTAATAGTTGTTGTTGCTTGGTTCACCCTAATGAGGGAGCCAGGCAAACCAATTTTACTTTATGGGTAGTTTTCTTGGAGTACATTATGTCTGCCATTTTGGTTTTAAAAAGCTCTTTTTCTAGCATTTCATGAAAAATTCGTATTTATATGTTTATGCTCTAACACTTTAGTGCTTCCCAGGTACTTCCCTATGATCAACTGATGCTGGAAATAGATGTTTTAAATGTACGTGAGCTAGAAGACTTCCTTATCAATGAATGCATGTATGCGGTAGGTTCTTGTCCAAGTTTGTTTTCTCCTCTTTCCAATGCAGCAGATAAAATCTAACTGGGAGTTGGAAGAAAGTTGATTTGGTGATCCTATTCCAGCAAACTACATTTATTTATTGTTTAATTTATATGGGTGCCTGCCTCACTTATTCGTTCTATTTTTTCAATCAATGATGTTCATTCTACTTCACATTCCATAAATTATACTATATGAAGTATCATGATATTTGGTTTGGGCATCTACCCACTCTTTTTTTTGGGTGGTAGATCAGTTCAAATGGATCAACCCAGTGCACTGAAAGCCAGGCTGAGCAGGTTTAAAAAATTTCTGAAAATAAAAACATCTTAAAAATAAAAAGCTATAGATTTCTATCTTTATAGATATGCAAAAGTGAGCTTGAAAGTATATTTAAACATAACTAAGACATACATCCACGTAAGTCCAAGCTCAACCTGTCCAAAACATTTGGTTGGATCAGGCTAGACTCAAGGTAGGCCTGCCTAAGTTGTATCTCTTTACTAAATTTACTTTATGTTCTTTTATTTTAATAAACATATGAGAAAACAAGAATGCATCTCTAATTTCCATTTAGTGAGTTAAGAAAATACTAGCAAGCACTGCTATTTATCATGTGGCTTCATTGTGGTTGCATAAGTGAAAACTTAAAATATTTATTTAGAAGCTGATTTTTAACAGGTATTGAATGATCTGCTTTTTGCTTTCCTTTTACTTTTTAATTCTTTTAATGGTCACCATTTATTCATTTCCTTCTAAGAATTTCCATTTACTTAAGGCCTACATACAAGTCTGAAATTTACAGTTCCTGATTTAAAACTTCAAATGTAGCCAGGAAAAATATCAGTTGTCTTTTTGTGGGATTTTTGTAGGGCATAGTTAGAGGTAAGCTGGATCAGTTGCGGAGATGCTTTGAGGTAAGGTCTTACTGCCATGTCCTTGTTTTAAGTTGAATTATTCAATTTTAATGCATGAAACAACTCCATTAATCAATACTTATTCTATTCTGTGCACATGTAGGTCCAGTTTGCTGCAGGGAGGGATCTGAGACCTGGGCAGCTTGGGAGTATGATACAGACGTTAACAAACTGGTAGTTGTAATTATATGTGTGTCCATGTATTATTTTTAGGTTTGGTGGTTCAGATCATTGAATCTGTATGGTATCTGCCTTGTGCACAACATGGAATCATGTATATGCTTTGTATTACCTTCCTTTTGATCTATGGGTAAATACATTGCAGGTTAGCAACTTCAGATAATCTACTTCTTTCAATTCAAGAAAAAATAAAATGGGCTGATATGACGAGTGAGGTGGACAAGAAACATAAGAAGGAAATTGAAGATAGGGTAGAAGAAGTGAAGAAATCCCTCTCACTCAAGGTCAGTTGAATGATCTCATTTTCTTTTCTTTCTCGATCATTCTCCATAATTCACTATTAGCTGACTTTCATTTCTAGGTTAACTGGTTGATATTTTTGTTATGAAAGTATACTTTCCTTCATCTTTATCTTGTTTTTTGTTCTTATTGTCAAATTTCTTTTTTTCCTTTGCATTTATGCTGACTGAATTATATGGTATATTTACAAATATACAAATTGTGATACTCATCATTATCATCATCCATGCCTTATCCCAACTATATCCTGTTTTGCCATTCTGTTCTATTTAAAGCCATATCCACTGTTAAATTATTAAAGTTTAAAATCATTTCTTACTACCCAAGTCCTTTTTGGTCCACTCCTAACTCTTCTAGCCCCTTCAACTTGTAACAAATCAATTCTTCTAACTGGAGCTGTTGGTGGTCTTTTATGCACGTGACCAAACCATAGTAGTCTAGTCTCTGATTTTATCATCTATTGGAGCTGCTCCTAGGTTCCTACAGATAGCTTCATTCCTATCCTATCCTTTCTAGTTTTTCCACTCATCCATCTTAGTATTTGCATTTCTGCCACAAGTTGTGACACTTAGATCTATTCATGGGCTGGGTGGTTCGATGGGCTGGCCTGGCCTGGCCCATTCTATGTCGGGCTTGGACAAAGTTTTAAGCTTGTGGGCTTGGGCAGGCTTTTCCAAATAAGCCTGGCTTGAGCCTGAGTCTGAGCCCAGCTCAATAATATTATATATATATATATAATAAAAAATCTAATATACATTATATAATAATAAAATTCGTAGCAAACAAGTCTTATATATATTATAAATCGTATATAATTAATATATTATAAAATATCTGTCCAGATCAGGTTTTGGGCTCAGGCTCGGTCTCAGGCTTGGGCCTGGTCATTTTCTATTTATAAAGGGGCAAAGCCCGTCCCGGCCCGTGAACAGGTCTAGTGACACTCATCTATTCAGTTTTTCCACTAATTTTTTTAGTTGTGATACTTATGAAAAAATATCCAAGTTGTGACAGTCTACATCATGAATTATTCCCCATGAACATGTGAGCAGGTCTGTTTGGTCAATTTTATGGGCTTACCTTGGAGGCTTGGAGGTCTCCAAGGCAAGTAGATCAGACAAAACTATCTATGTTGAGATTTGTCAATGTGAATGTGTATCATCGGTAGCCCGGTGATTCTTCTTGTGTTTTCCTCAATGAAATCTCTTTGATCTGCTATTGATGAAAAAGGGGAAAAGGTTCGAAATACTACGCAATATGCATAAAAGATCTATGACATACATGAAATCACTATTCTAAATAGCTCAGTTCTGTATTGCAATGTTGATGCTATTTCTCAAAGTTTCATTATCCAAAGGAGCTTAATATGTGGATCCTGAGTTTCAAATCTTAGTCGAAGGACTGATGGTTCAAGGTTGGACGGTGAAGGAGGAGATACAAAGGAGACTGGAGTTTGCATGATGGAGTTTGCACCAGCAAGGAGATGGAGAAGAGTTCTGAAGATTGAGGCAAAAACGTTTGTCTTGGAAGAAGTTTGGACAAGAAGAGAAGTTGCCCTGAAGATAGTGGAACTGAGAAAAGCTTTGTCGATTCTTGAAGAGAAAGCAATATCCTGGCTTCAGAGATTCCTGGAGGGAGCGAAGAGGACATTAAGAACAATAGAATGGAAGTGTAGTCTTGTGGAAGAGGGAAGAAGGTATGCTGCTGGAAGAAGAGAAAACAAGGGAAGATTTGTAGGTATTTATGAATATTATGGAAATGGTATGAAACAGTTCACTTGCTTCCCTGAAGGGAGAGAAGCATCGGGTTGGGATAAATTAATACAAGCAATGCAGGATTTTCTGGTGTTAGTATATGAAAGAAGAAGTTCTCCAATCAGAAAGGAAGAGGGTCAGAAGAAGCTTGAAGAGAAGATGGAATTAACAGACTGGAAGGAAACACAAAATAAGGGAACCAATACAGATAAGGATATTCAGATTGATGCAAGGTTAGGGTCAATGAGAATGTGGATCAATAAAGCCAAAACAGAATGGGAGAACAAATTAGCGTTATCCTTGAGTAAGGATGTTACAGATTGGAAAACCCTGGGTGAAGAGATTCAACAAATTTTGTAGGTATCAGAAAGACTGCAGATTATTCCTATTGATGGGCAGAAGGTTGTGATTCTTTGTAAAAATCCCTGGCCGGATTTTGAACCTGTGTCGGCAGTAACAAAGCAAGGATTGGCAGTGGTAGGAAGATGGTCCCCAAGTTGTAATGAGAAAACTGTAAACCCAACAGATAGCATTGAGTTGAGAATTCTGGGGCTGCCTTATCATCTATGGTCGGATGAGATTCTTAACAGAATTGCAAAGTTGTCTGGTGGGGAACTCTCGACTGTGGATGCCTCAGATCTCTGAGCTGTGCATATAGAGGTGAATGGAGTGAAGCCAGAACTCATCCCACGTTCTATAGATGTTTTCTCAGATGGTCAAATGTTCAAAGCTTGGATAGCCTCCTCTGTGGAAGCTCAATGGTGGAAGGACTGGAGAAGATGATGCTGACGTGGCCAAAACCTGGTCTCGAGGAAACCTTGGAAAAGAAAATTAGAAAGTTTCATGAATAAGGAAACTGAAGAGACTGGGAAGTGGAAGGGTGTAAATCAAGCTACCTCTCGGTGTGGGAATTCGAAGCAGAAGGTTAGAACTTCAACGGGCAGATGTAAAACTTTCGCTAAGGCTTTAATGAGATTAAAAGGAGGAGACGTGGCGGGTTCAAATTCAAACAAAGGGCTTGGGGTGGGGACAAACGGGAGAGAAGTAAATCCTGGTGGGCCTTCAAATGGTTTGGCCCAGTCACAAGAAAGCTTAAATAGACACGTGACTTTAGATAATGGGGGGGGGGGGCTGCTGGGCTGAAAATTGCGCTGTTGGACTAATTAGGCCTGGCCCATTAAAAAGGACATCAAGTGATCACGTGACTACAACAAGAGGTCGAACTCTGGAGGACTATTGTTTGGGTGTATCGTTGTCCCAAACTGATGTTGCAGCGGCGAATTCTTCCTCCAAGCACAACTCTCCAGCTGCAGGCTCGATGAGAAGCTCTAGTTTGGGGCTTGCTTGGGTGCCGAGACTGGTTTCCTACTCTACTAGTCCAGAGAAGCTGAATCCAAGTTACAATAGAACAAAGAACAGAGATGAAACTTCAGATTCAGGGTGGTTAAGTTTGGAAGATAGTATGGAAGGAGAGAACTCTGAAGGTTTTAGCCTTGGAAGTATTCAGAGCAAGTGCCACTCTCGACTTGGGGAAGAAGCAGAGGATGGCTTGAAACTTCTGTTTGATGATGATCTTTCTACGCCTGACAAAGGGGAAGGAAGATTAGGCACCACCTCGGGGGAAGTAAAATCTAAAACAAAGAATAGCGGAGATCTGTGTTCAGAACAACACCAAATATAGGATATTAGTAGGGGCTGTAAAGTCAACCCAGAACCTCTTAGTAGAGCTACAACCTTGGGGAGTGTTGCAAAAAAGGGAGTGTTGCAAAAAAGGAGAAGAAGCGGTGAGTGGTTTGTTTGGTTAAAGGGTATTTTGTCGCGGTCTCCATGAAATTGATTAGCTGGAATTTAAGAGGGTTAGGAAGCTCAAGAAAAAGAGGAGTGATTAGGGATTTGTTAAGAAGAGAAAAACCAGATATTGTGTTGATTTAAGAATCTAAATTGTCTGAGTTAGATAGGAATTGGGTAAGAAGTATTTTGTTAGCGAGAGGCATAAGTTGGGCATATGCACAATCTTGGGGAGCTTCAGTGGGAATTATAACTTTGTGGAAAAATGCAGAGATGGAGTGTACTGGGGAGTTAATTGGGAAGTACTCAGTGTCCATCGAGTTGAAGAGGAGGATGGATGACTGGGAATGGGTTTTAACTAATTTGTAGGACCCACCTCTTATAAGGAAAGGGGGGGGGGGACTTTGGGAGGAATTAGCAGCAGTGAGAGGTCTATGGGAGGGACCCTGGTGTTTGGGAGGAGATTTTAATGTCATAAGATTCTTGAGTGAATCAAACAACCCAAATCACCGGGTTACAACAAGTATGAGGAAGTTTAACCTCTTCATAGAGAGCTTTGAGTTGCGGGATTTACCTATTCAGAGGGCAAATTATACTTGGTGAAATTTTCAAGAGGTTCCCACTTGCTGTAAGTTGGACAGATTCCTATTCACAACTGATTGGGAAGTGGCTTGGCGGGGTTTAGTAGTTACAGCTCTGCCAAGACCTATTTCAGACCACTGCCCAATAAGTTTGACCCAAGAGAGATTGGGGGGTGGCCCCTACCCTTTTAGATTTGAGAATATGTGGCTTTTGCACCCTGAATTCTTGCCAAAGGTGAAGGAGTGGTGGGAGGAAGATCAAGTGGATTTCAGATGGAAGGGTTATAGATTCTATAAGAAATTGCAATTGCTGAAAGCAAGAATTAAGTTGTGGAATAAAGAGAGTTTTGGAAAGATTGAAGAAAGAAAACAGGAAATTCTCAGTAGAATAGAGGAGCTAGATGGTGAGGAAGCTGAGAGAAGTTTGAGTTCAGAAGAGAGGAGAGAGAGATGGGGTTTGAAGAAGGATTTGGAAGGCATCCTAAGAAAAGAGGTTACTTGGAGACAAAAATCTAGATGTCAATGGCTCAAGAAAGGGGATGGAAATACCAGTTTTTTCCATATGTTGGCAAATGGGAGAAAGAGGAAAAACTCAGTGTTGAAATTGGAATGGAATGGGCAAGTATTGACGAGAGATGAGGACATAGCCCAAGCCTTTGTGAATCACTTCAAAACACTCTATGAGAGTCCAAGGAGGTCAGGAGAAAACTTAGAGGACCTGGATTGGAGGGTTGGGAATAGAGAGTTGTTGGATTCCTTGGAAAGGAAATTTGAGGTTCAGGAAGTCAAAAATGCAGTCTTCTCGATGGAGAAATCTAAAGCCCTAGGACGTGATGGTTTTATGATGGCTTTCTATCAAGATTGCTGGGAAATAATTGAGGGTGACTTGATGGAGGTGTTTGATGAGTTCTATGAGAGGGGCAAATTTAACTCAGGTGCAAATGCAACCTTCATCGCTTTGATACCAAAGAAAGTGGATGCAATCCAGCCGAAGGATTTTAGGCCCATAAGTCTGATAGGAAGCACGTACAAAATCATTTCCAAGGTTTTAGCCCGAAGAACAAAACATGTTCTTCCCTCGATGATTTCTCCAAATCAAGGGACTTTTGTGTTTTGGAGACAAATAATTGATCAAATTCTCATTGCCAATGAATGTGTAGGGGTTAGAAGAAGGAAAAAACAAAAGGGACTAGTGTGCAAGTTAGATTTAGAGAAAGCCGATGACATGGTGGATTGGGAGTTTTTGATGGAAATTCTTAAGCGTAGGGGTTTTGGAGAGAGATGGTGTAAATGGGTGAAGGGCTGCATTTCTTCATGTCATTTTTCAATTCTGGTAAATGGAGTAGCAAGAGATATTTTTCCTGCCAAAAGGGGCCTAAGACAAGGAGATCCTCTATCTCCCTTCCTTTTTACTCTGGTAATTAATGTGTTGAGTGAGTTGATCATAAGGGAAGATGCCGACATTATGATTAAAGGCTGGAGAGTTGGAAGGGATGAAGTGGTGGTTACACACCTACAATTTGCAGATGATATTATTTTGTTTTGTGAAGGGAAAACAGAAGAACTCATGAACCTAAAAAGGATAGTCCATAAATTTGAGAGGATCTCCAACCTTAAGATTAATTTGGGCAAGATTTGTGTGGCAGGAGTAAATTTAGGGAGTGAAGAGGTGATTCGATTAGCTAGACTATTGGGGTGTGAAGTAGGAGATTGGCCATTACAATATTTGGGACTACCTTTGGGAGGAATCCTAATATGGATAGTTTCTGGTATCCAGTGATTGAGAGATTTACAAAGAGACTTGTGAACTGGAAGAGAAATTACATTTCTTTGGGAGGTAGGATAACCCTAATAAAGTCAACGTTGGCTAACTTACCAGTGTACTTCCTATCTACCTTTAGGATACCAGTAAAAGTGGTAAATCAGCTAGAGAAGATTATGAGGGACTTCCTTTGGGAACTAGGAGACACCAAAAGAGACCACCTAGTGAAGTGGGAGGTGGTTTCTAGAAGTAGAGATGAAGGGGGACTAAGAATAGGAAATCTCAGGCTAAGAAATACAGCATTATTGGGGAAATGGTTATGGAGATTGCCATTGGAACCGGACAGACTTTGGCAGAGTGATTATTAGCATTCATGGATTGGCAGACAATGGTTGGGATGCAGGAGTCGACCCCAGGGCTTCTCGGTGCTCTCCCTAGAAAGCTATTAATGGTATTTTACCTTCATTCCTTCCTTATGTCAAATTTGATGCTTGTGCAGGAAATAAAGTGTTGTTTTGGGAAGATGCTTGGGTTGGAGACATTCCCCTTAATGAAAGGTTCCCTTCTATTTATTCACTTTCTGAAAATAAAAGAAAAGTGATGTCTTCAGTTTTTATTGATAACTCTTGGGACTTGGGTTTGAGGAGAGGTCTAAGGTAGTCGGAAATGACAATGGTGGATGAATTAATTAACCTTCTAGGGTCAACCTACCTGGATCAATCTTGTTTGGACAATAGAGTTTGGAAACATTCCCCTTTTGGCATGTTGTTCACTTGTTCCTCCTTTTTTGATATCCTCATTCAATCATCAAACCCTGTAAGGAGCTTTCCTTCAAAGGAGATTTGGTGTCAGCCTGCATCCCCAAAAATTTGGGCTTTTTGTTGGGAGGTGGTTATCCAAAAAATCAATACTCTAGATATGTTGCAAAGAAAAAGGCCAAATGTTTGCTTATCACCCCATGTTTGTAGCCTCTGCTTGGGATCTGGTGAGACGATCACACACCTATTAATTTCTTGTCCATTTGTATGCTTTATTTGGACCTGGTTCTCTTCTATCTTTGGTTGTAGGTGGACACCTCCCCCAGATGTGGCAAGCCTTTTTGACCCAAGCTTTTTCAGGCAACCGAAGAGGCGTGGAAGATTAATGTGGAGAGCCACAAGAGCAGCTATCTTATGGTCAGTTTGGGAAGAAAGGAATAATAGAATCTTTAAAGGAGTGGAGAAATCCGAGGCAATTGTAGAAAGGATAATTATTATGACTATTCATTGGTTGAAAACTTTGGATTTGTTTAAAGACTTCTCAGCTGAAGACATTTACAGGAATTGGGAAGTGGTGGCTTCTATAACTTCCATGAAACCTATTGTGCAGGAATTGTGGTCCCCACCAACACAACAAAGAGTGAAATTGAACTTTGGTGGGAGTTCAAGAGGTAACTGGGCCCTTCAGGTATAGGAGGAGTATTCAAAGATGAAAATGGCAGAACCGTGGCTTTGTTTTCAGGACTAGTAGGAGTGGGGGACTCATTGAGAGCGGAGGTGATGGCCTTGCTTCAAGGTGTAAGATATGCAAAACAGTTGGGGTTACACCAAATTGAGATAGAGGGAGACTCTAAATTGTTGATTGAGTGGCTGCAATCTAGTAAGTTGGGAGCTTGGATTTATAGACAGCCCATAAGGGAATCCTCAATATAACAAGGGAGATCAGTGCATGCTTCAAATGGACAAGGAGATCAGCTAATGGTTTAGCTGACACATTGGCTAAACAAGGGACTGTGAGGGAGAGTATGTTTTGGGCAGTTTTGTAAGATTACTGGGGGCTCAAAACCTACTTAGGGGTTGACAGCTGTACTTAAATCTGGAAAGTTATTTTTAAAGTTATACTAATGAAGTTACCGTTTCCAATAAAAAAATTAATAATTCCAACATATATTTAATACTGGAGAAAAACTGATTTATTACGAACAATTCTAAATAACATCAAAGGGACAATGCTAGGGCATTTTCTGGATGATATGCTGCTCCCGCACCTGGATGCAAGTGACTGATAGAACGCAGTGGTGGCCGGTGGGACAGGTCAATCCTTGTGTATGCGCATCATAAATGAATATGCATTTGGTTTTGGGGAGCTTAATTGATGGATCCAGTTGCATGACACATGGCCTGTACTTTTTTTTTTATCAAATGCATCTAAGACTTTACCTTCTCAAAGAAAAGTGCACACTGTGCCGGGGGGGGGGGGTGTAATACCTACAGAATAAAAAGGTGTGTTTAAAGGAAATCCAAGTTTAGGATAATTTTTGAACATTTCTGGCCTATGGATTTTGAGACCAGCAAATGAAGAAGCAGATTCCTTAGTGATCTGTTAGAGGGTTGGTATGCATGGTGAGAGTTCTTTTCATATTTCAATGCTGGTTTCTTCTTTTTTATTATTTTTTAATGCTAGTTTATTTTTTTCATTTCTTTTTAACAATTTCTTTATGCTTCAATTTTCTTTTCTTTTCTTGCAAATTTAGGATTGAATTGATATTGATATGCAATAATACGATTTTTGCTTTATTTTTGTCAAATTAGTGCATTCAGCGGTGCTCCTTAACATGGGCAAATATTATTCCCTTGTATCAATGCATATTGAATAATTGAGAATGCAACTTCAACCTTTATTTGTAACTGTGGTCTGCAAGCACATTGAAGCTTGAATGCTGATGCCAATGCTGTGCTTGTGGGAGCACTGTTATTGGTGGAGGGTTAGTTTGAGACTTTGATCGTAATGTTATAACTGTTTATTCTTTAATTGAAACCTTTATGGATAAGAGTTTATGACCTCAAAAAGTGATAATTTGAATAGGTACAGACATCATATGAGGTTGGTTTTTGATTTTAGATTTTTTTTTTGGTCTGAACCAATGACCAATCAATTCTTTGGTCCTACCTGCTTTATCGGGAAAAGTTTAGGTACTAAATGCCTTGGGAAGTATTGATATAGAGCTGTAAAACTAGTGCTTATCAACTATTGGGATATGTTGGTCGATGTGTCTTACTTACGTTGTGGCAGAAGTTACACACTGTAAGCAGGCAGACATGGAGTTCCAAGGTCATGAAGAGATCTTCTACTCTGAACCTGGTGGAGTGATGGACTATGAGGAAGATCGAAGCCGTCCCAAGAGGTAGAGTTATCTTTTAGTCCCTTGGTTGTAATCCACATACATGTAAAATACAGTCTGATTTCTTCGATTGATATAATCTGTTACACTTGCCAGAAAGAAAAAGGCAATTAACTACACATACGTGTATCAGTGTATGTCCACTCTAATTAGCTACATACATGCATATATCCCTAGGTGGTTTTATGTGTGAAAGATCCCTGCACATAAGTGACCATGTTGCGTCAGTATATGAAAATCTGAGGGTGTACAATTTGGGTTTATATTGAATGTTTGCCTCCTTGTTCTATTGGAAATATGCAGGCGGCGACCACCAATATCATGATGTGTTGTGTCAAGTGGGAACCTGTGGACAGGATTTTAGGTGGCTTCCTAGATTCTGTTCATGGCATACCGGCATCTTAAACTTTTCTCAGTTGGAGATGTCGCCATTAAAACTCATGTATTGAGAATTGGTAGTGTTTTGAAACTATGTTCTATCCACTTTTTAAAATAGATCAGAGACAAGATCGAATTGGGGGTACAGCTGGAATTTCATATACAACTCACAAGGAGACAAGGTTGCAAGTCTAATTCTTTTTGCATTTTTGTGGGCATGGTAATGTCATATTTTTTGCCCTCTTTTTTGATATCAAAGTGTGATCATCATCATTATGGGACAACATGCAGACATATGGTAGTGATATTAAGAAATCTTGGAATGCAAGGTGAGTAGTTATAGAGAAGCTTCAACTATGTCCTCATTTGGTTGAATCACCTTGTACTTGGCCTTACAGTGCAAACCTTGTATATTGTATTTCTAAACCTTATATTTGCACTTGCATACCTGTATTTGTACTCTTCCCAAACTAAGCCTAATATTTTAATACTGTATTCGCATGATATTTTCTAATGAAAATTACGGTTTGGTCAGAATTATGATGGGCTATGCTGGATTTGATTCACATTAGGTGGATTCTGTGTATGGTTTATTACCCCCATGAAAATTCTTGCAGCATTGGGGTGATATCTAGCCCTACTTTCTGAGACTGCTTTGCTGACTTTGTCCAAAGACTGGTTTACCTTTCCTAGTTTAAAGGTCGTTTCCCATATTATCCTTTACATCTCTGTATGTGCCCAATGAAGTTATGTCAGACTGTCATTCAACGCAGTTGATGAGAGATCAAAATCAGTTACTGTAGGTTTCAGGCAGCAACCCTATTTTCCCTTTAGCCCTAACGTCTCGTTTCTTGGAACGAAATATTCTATTTCTAGTAAACAAGGAGTTTACGCAGCTCTTGGCATTGCTCTCAAGTCTCAACTAAACATAGAAAAAAAAAAAACGTAACCATTGAATCTCATTGAAGACTTTGAAAGTCAGAGGTAAGCGACAAAACCACTTGCGGTCAAGTTTTCTACCTGTCGTGTGTTTAGATGTGACAATAATATTACATTGGAGTCATTGAGATGCTATTTCTGACCGAGACATTTCTATCATGGTTGAAATGAGGCTCACAACCCAGCCACCCAAAGTGAGGGCCGTTGAATAGAATGGACGCTGCTGTTGTCGGATTCTTATAAATAAAACCATTACTCTTGGATGGCTTGGGCCTGATACAGAGTAGAAAGTGTCAATGTTTTAAAAATCGACCCAGAATCAGAACTACTTTGGCCACAAGTTTCTGGGTCAGAACCCTAAACCCTAACCGTCTGGTCCAAATGGACAGTCTGTATTAATTTAAAAAAATTAAAAAATAAAAAATGGCCAAAGACAATTTCCGAGTTGAATGGGTTGATGGTTCAACCACCCAGGTGAGCGATTCTCTGACCAAATCAATGGTTTTTGGCACAAAAAAAAAAAAAAGTTCAGGAGCGAAATGGAACTGGTTGACTGGAGGTTTTGGGCGGAATGGTCCGGCCGTCCTGGTTGACGGTTCAAAAACCAGGGAAAGTAGAGTATCATGACATCTGTCACATCTCACATCTTGTTTAATATGGTTTACCGTTTTACCATGCCACAGAGGTTTGGTATTCATTAATGAATCACTTCCGGATTCATAGCAACTAACTAGCATCTTCAAGACTTCAAACTTCCAATTCATCTCCTCTTAGATAGACACTACTGTCTTGTATTATAGACCGTTTTAAAATTTTCTATCTTTAAGAGGAAGCGTAAAGGTGTGGAGAAATCGGAGATGTTACTCATTGTCATGCGGGTCGCTTTAGAACAACGTTCATTCATTGACGTTGTGCTTCTCTTCATTCATATCCAACAAAGAATCAGGAATCAAGAATCAAGAGAGGTTCTTCTGCAATTGCAAATACCCATTATTCTGATACTAAAGACTAAGAACCCAAGAATGGGATCCTTTCCTTTTGTGCATTAGCCAAGAACGAAGGCGCTTTCACATAATTTAACAATGTTAACCAGCAATGCCACCCTTAATCAACTTTTAAACAATAAGAAGCAACTATGATGACTATATTGATGTTAACGGCTTTCGCTCCACATGCTTTGTTCCTGCATTCACGACACGAACAACTAAGACCCGCATGCATTGCGTTGATCCTAATCATTCATGATGCAAAAAGTTTTAGTGTCGGCTGCCAACCTGACACAACCCTCCTTCAGGTAATTCAGATTAGCTGAATGCGATGGCTGTTCAGTGGGCTGTGGAACCAATGATAATGTTCCACGCAAGTAATAAATTAATGGGCCCTACTGTAAAAGGTGTGGGTTCCATGTATTTTATTACTGTTACTGGTTCCACAGCCCGCTGAACAACCATCGTGTTCAGCTAATCCTTGCTCTCTTTATTTGTGCTTAGGACCAGACGTGTAAGCCAGACAAAGCTCACACTGGTGCCTCTGGTGGAGTTCGTTTCCTTCTTCCTAAGAAGATAAAACAAATATCATAAACAGAACCACCAATTGTGGTTTGTATTTGTTAGACTTGGTTTTGTTTTCGTATTTATAGTAATTAGGCGCATCAACATTGGACTTGTATTGTAAGCCCAATGCCAACTTCTCAGTTGGGCTTGTATTTGTAAGCCCAAATTGGAGATGCTGTAACAGTACGTAGCACTAAGAATGTGCCAGTGGTGGGCCCGGTCCAGAACCAGCACCAGTAGTCATCATTGATAGATCCGATTCCGATTTCTCACTTTCTCAGGTATGAAATGTAATGCTGATGGCTGGATTTGGATTTCTCACCTTTTCCCCAACTTTTCAGTTTTCCCATGCGTGGATTTACGTAGATTCTAGATCCAAGGTTTTAATTTGGACAAAACTTTGTAAATAATAACAAATCTCCTTTTTATATACTTATATTCACAAATCCAAACACTCCATTCACATTTCACACAGTTGTCTATCTCTCTGTCTCTCTCTTCTCAGCGCCGAGTCCCTTGGCTTGAAATAAAAATGCGGAAAAGGATAAACTCGTTTTCCCACTGTGGAAAGATTTTTCATATTTTTTTATAGCTCTACACTAGCTGACTAATAGCTGCTCGCCACGTAGCAATGGGGTTCCCACTTGAAAGACTTCTGATAGGCTCGTCGTTTCCAATCTGGTCTCGGCCGCTGCCGGAGCCGAAGGGACCACTCCTCTTCTCCTCCGTTTGGGTGATCCATTATCCGATAAACTCGACGACGAGTAAGAAGGAGAGGGAGAGGAGGAGGATGAAGAAGAAGGCTCAGGGGACGCCCGCTTGGCGGTCACTCGAACTGGCTCTGGGTCATTCGAGCCGATTCGGAGTGGGAAATTGAGTAGAGCTCGCGAGCCGCGCATCCGGTAAGCAGCTCGGTCGTAAGCCATCGCTGCGTCCTCGGCCGTCTCGAATGTCCCCAGCCAGACTCTGGCTCCGTTCTTCGCCGGATCTCTGATCTCCGCCGCGAATTTCCCCCACGGTCTTTGCCTCACACCTCTGTAGTGCTTCCCCTTCGCGGGAGCCGGTGATGCGGGTATCGATTTCTCCTGCCGCACCACCGATGTAGCCGAAATCGCTGGAGCTGCAGTAGCCATCGGCGGCTCCGGCAACGATTCCTGAGGTTCCAATTTAACGGGCTTCTCCGTTAAACTAAACGTGGACGTCGCGCTCGGTTGCGTTTGTGGTGTCACCGTCATCCCCTGCTGCCCGAGTGACGGAACCCATCCAACGCTAACGGCGTCACGGAGCATCCCGTAAACCACCATGTCCTCAGAATCATCCTCCTTCAGAGGTAGATCGCCCCAGTTCTCCGTCAAGCAAGGGAAGAGGCTACTGAAGCTGGAGCTCCGACAATAAACGGGACCCTCACTGGGATTCCTCGCGGGGCAATTCACCTGAAGATTGGCGGATAATTCTGATTCATCCAACAGATGTCTCCTTATCGATTCAAGCATAGCAGAATTGGACTCATCACCGTTGATTCCAAACATCTCTGATATCTTTCTATCTTTTTTCTGGGGTTCTCTGAAAATCTTTGGGGGGTTTTGAATTGGGTTTTTTCTGACTCTCAGTGGAGTAGAATTAGGAGGGAGTTATGGGCAGAGGGTGTATATATAGGGGAGGGAGGTTCATGCACTTGGTCGATTTTTGGAGTTTCTATGAAATTTCCCGTCTCTGCTCCACAAGTGGGGGAGGTTTGGGCTCTTCAGAGAGAAGAAAGGTTATTGATCACGTGGGTTATGTTAATTGAAGTTGATCTGACGTCATAGGTCTTAGCACAGCAATGGGCCACGTCATCGATGCTACTTAGCCGTTGATCCACTGGTCGATTTCAAACTGTAGCAACCCGTGTCCTCGCCGATTCTTTGGCTTTTCTGCGGAAGGATAAGACCCATCTCACCTGGGGGTCGGTTTGGTTGCCGTTTCAGCGTTTAAGGTAATTGGGGGTGGAGATTGGGGGGGATGTTTTTGGCATTTAATTAATTAGTGCAATATGGTGTCATGGGCTCCACTATTTCTCTGCGGTATGTACACTAGGAAAGGGAAAGGACAATGGCTGGTCACAGTTGAAACTTATCTTGTTAAAGAGCTCATCTTCTGCTTTTAAAGCATTTTTTTTTGTGGCCGGAAATATTCTAAAAGGTGAGATAGGAAAAACTCTTTTTTTTTGGTTTGGGTTAGAGAATGGGTTAATTCCTATGGTTTTATCCATGTTAATTTACAAAATATTAGTTATCTCTACCTCACAGAATATTTATCATTTTGTTATCACACAATTCACAAATTTCATGTGTAATTGTTGAAAAATCTGAAAATGTCAGCAATTGTTTGTAGAAATCTGTCAATGTCCAAATTGATTTTTGATTTCGATAGGGTCCAACCTAAAATCGGTCCATTGACAACCCTAGCCTGGTTCATGAACCATGAAATTTCATAGTTAATCGCATATACTAGATTCATTTAATTTAACTATGAAAACATCCAAAACAAAAGACAAGACAAGCTTCAAAACCCCAACTGTGCATGAATTTTACATATGAAAAATTCAGGTTCCAGAAAAGATGGGTCCATGTATCGCTGTCTTATGCACCTCTCCACATCATGGATTTAAATTCAACCTAATGACTTCCTTTGCTCATGGCCTGAATAGAGATAGAAATTTATGTATATATGTTTTTTATTTTTGAAAATAAATTCAAGAAATTTAATTGTCATAGAAAATGAGCAAGAAATGAGTGTGGTTCAGTGAACAGAACAGAATGGCGAAATCGGATTCATGTAACCAATTTCATGTGGTTGGGACAAGGTTTAGATGATAAAAATAGAGACAGAAATGAGTATGGTTCAGTGAATAGAGTTCAGATCTGTGCCCCACAACGTCCCACAGCACATCTTCGTCATGTATTGGGAACATCTCTTGATGATAGTATTAGAACCGATGTTATCATTATCGAGAGATGTTTTCGATACATAACAGGAATATGGGCACAGATGTAAACTCCAGTGAACAGAATAGAATGGCGAAATGGGGTTCGTGTAACTAACCCCATGACTTAAATGATGAAGATGAACACCAGAAAGGAACAAGATTCATTGACTTTAAGGATTTAGTTTTTTGTTTTGAAAAATTATTTTAAGATTATATAATTTAAACTCTAACTAATTAAGATATAATAAAAATTACAGATAAGCATATCAAATAGAGGAATTATTCTCTTTTGTTCCATGTATTCATCTTCAAGATCTATACTAATTTATTAGACCCATAAATTAAAACCATGGCATCTTTCTTTCTAAAACTACATTTCTACATTATTAATTTTGTTTTCAAATTTATAGAAATTAATAATTATTACATTAAACTCTAATATTACATGGTTAGTTTCTTAATTATGTCATACTAGTAAAAGACAAAACAGTGCAAAGCCAAAAAAAGGTCAAGAAATAAATTTGAAAACTGATAATATGAAATATATTTTTAATATTGAATTAAAATATATTTCTCCTGTTTATCTCAATTTTATCATATTCCTTTTCAAGACTTATACATTCATAAATTGGAAACAGATGCACAAGATCTACAGGCTGCATTATTCAAGGCCAAACAAAAGCACTATAAATTATCCATACGGAACCCCAAATAATTTTGTTTCAAAATCTTTGCTACAATTAATCTTTCATAACATTTAACAATAACTTTGAAATTTTTATTTCTTAGAAAAGTTCCACTTATTAAAAAAAAAAAAAATCTATGATGCCAGAAATATATCATATCGGAAAGGCTTTGACCAATTATAACTTTTATGAATTTTGATGAAAATCCACTTGATTAATTCTTACTTTATAATGTTGGTTGATTGATTGTAAATTTTTCCAATGTCATGTCTTTCCGATATTATGATGAAACCCTTAGAAAACCACAACCTATTACATATTACAAGTTGAGGGAACTAATTTGAGTTGGGGGAAGAATGAAAACAATCTGGATGCAATTAATAAGAAATGACTACAAAATGATAAAACAGGATTCGTGTAGTATTATAATGGGGATAAGGCTTAGAATGTGATAACGTAGACGATACATTTCTTAGAAAATACATCATATTCTTTTACATTATAAGGTTCTGATGATTGCATGTACATTTATTGTTGTATTTTATGTATTATTTTAAGTATTTTCTTGTGTATATCCATGATTTAAATGTGTCCCATAGCCAATTTCTACATAATTTTAATTTTTATTCATATGGAAATGGTGGGAAGACAAGGCCAACAATACATGGCCCATCTACAGAGTTTCATGTACTACTACTCTAGTATCTGGTGCAATGCTTCTCTCCCTTGGCCCACGATTGAAATGTGGCCATTCATAGCTCTATCAAATATGAAAAGACAAAAATGGCCACAAGAACAGAATGAATTCATTTTTTGTACGAGTCGAAAAAGAATAAGAATGTGAAAATGATGATGCAGGGGGTTTGGCGAGGAATTGGCGGAAGAAACTAGAAAGGCGAGGGTACTCCCGTCACACGCACGGGTGGGTGCATTCACTATGGACCAAAATTTCAGTGGATAAGGCTCAATAAGTCAAAGTTGAGAGATGACAATGGGCCCCCACTGGCTTGCTTTATGTCATTTCAAAGAAGGCCAGTCCTCATCCCCTTTTGCCTTATTTTTTGGACTTTTGCGGCCCAGTTGTCACTCCATGGAAGGAAGGATTGCTTTGCTGCTGCGGCCGCTGCTGGGTTCACAAATCAGATTTAATCTGAATGAATATGTCTTCTACTCCAATCTCTATCTCTTCCTCTCTCCTTAATTACACCTTTAAATATCTGCAATTTGCCCTCAAAATTCCTCAACTTTACTTAGAGAAAGCAACTCTTCAACAGATCGTGTGTTTCGTAAAATAATCCTGAATCTGCTAAAATATGTTGCAAATTAATTTTTTTTATCAAATAAATCTAATATGTTTAAGGATACTCATGTTTAATATGTTTTTTTTTTTTGTTTAAAAGTTCAAAATGAAAATTAACGTATTTTATATGTAAATATCTGTATAATATATTAAGTATATGCATATTTAAATATATATATATATATATGTATGTATGTGTGTTTTTGAAATTAGAAGTTCCTGAATTTTTTGGTTTATATTTTTTTTTAATTCTAATTATTCATATATAATGCATTTTTCTTGAATTATTCATGTATTTTCTATTATGATGAAAAAAATCATAATTTGAGAGGTTTTCTTAGAAAAAGTCATTAAGGCTACGTTTGATTACAGTGCAAATACAATTTTGTATGTTGTAAATGAAGTCTTGTCCGGTTCAAGTGAATACAAAATGGAACCGGATTTCAATTTTCTTTTGTGCTTTTTTTGTTTGGCATTTAACAATACAGAGAATGATGCAATTTTGTGAGCGTTTGGCAATTCTGATATATCCATAAAGTTTAAATCGAAGTAAACTTTTATACCTATATCAGTGGAAATTCTGATATATCCATAAATTTATATCGATTTTGGCAACATATTTACACCATAAACAAACAGTGAAAAAACTGAACCAAAGTAAATATTTACATCGAACCGGCATTTTCATCATTTCCATACGTAGTCTAAAGCTCTATTTGAAAAAAGTACAAATATAAATTTGTAGAATGCAAAACCTTATATTTTTGTATTATTTCGTATGCATTTGCATTGTATAAATTTGTATTTATACTCTTTCTAAACTTAGCCTAATGTGCGTATAATATATAAATTTGTTAATTGTGGTATTGCCTCTGCCTTGTTGGAATGCAACATTCTATGAAAATGTGGTGCATTTTCAAGAGGGAAGTTGTGTTCATTCTAATTCAAGATTGGTTATGATTGTTAAGTACTTTGATGTTTCAAAAATCAAATTAGTTTGGAAGCATTTGAGCAACTTGTTTCCAATTATTTGTTAATTTGCTTTTGAGCTTTATGGGAGGAATCCAACCATGATCATGGAATTATAACCCTCGAACCAATGGTTGGATGACATGTGGCTACCTAACTCTAATATGATTCAGATCTTCTTCCGGATCATATCGCGGTTTGTCGGCCCATGATGACGTGGTTGGCTGACTTGGACATTGTCAAAAATGTACTTCAACAGGATTGCCAATTTCAAAAACATCGTGAAATGCAAAATTGAACTCAGATTTGATTCATCAGCTCACAATCAATTCCAAATGATATTATATTACATGTACTACACTCAAAACTAAATAAATAAAACTAAATTTTATTGGACTGTTGGAGTTCTATGGGGGCCAAATCGAATTAATTAACAATAATAGAATATATAATTAGCTGCTTTAAACTTTTTCGCTTTCTCATAATTGACCCTCCCAACATATAATTATAGTATAATACAAAAATAATTATTAAAGTAGTAAAGAGGATTTTTTATCTTTTTTTTTTTTTGCGAATTTTGATTAAAGATCAGATATGCTTAGAGTGGTAACTGCAATTTGGCGTAGTTAATGAATTGTAACAGATCTATCGTCGACACAGAAAAGCCCATCGTAGGGCATTGGAAACGACACGCTGAAAAATTCAACGGCTGAAAATTGAAATTGACCAATCTCT